TCCATTGAGTCTAATGATGTATACTTTGCCTAGGTCTTTCCAAAATTAAATTTATGTAAATGTCTATTTTATATAAAATATGATTAAAATAAGTATGTCTGGTTTCAATCTCTCAAGTACTTCATGGTTAGTACCTACTGATGTCCGTGTCACCAGGAGTGTCTGTTTTAACAATTTTTTTAAAAGGACCATCTTCCTTCCTTCTTTCATTCATTTACTCATTTCGTTGCATTGTTCTGTGTGCTTCCTGTCGGCTCTCTTCCCCTTCCTCTACACAGTGCCAATTCAGTACTCGCCCACTCCAGATCCACTCCCCCATCATGCTTAGATGCTGTCACCTCTCTCTTCACAGAGTAAATAAAAAGGTAGAAAGCAGATATCCCCCAGTGCCCTGCACTTCATGTATACATTTACCTGCACCTAATTCTATCCTTTCTTTTCTCCTGTTATCATAATGGAAGAAGAGGACCCTAGGTTCTGAATTTTGCCTCTTACGGAACTTCATTCCATTCCTTAACTTCTCCTTCATCTTTTAACTTCTTTCTTTTGCTGACTTTCGTCAAATTGTCAGTTCTTCTCTATCTTAAAGCACATACACAGGTAATCAACACCAAAACAATTTGGAAAAAAAAAAATCCTCCTCTATTTCATATTATCTGTAGCTGCTATCACATCTCCGTCTGTCCTTCACAGCCAAGCTTTTTGAATAGCAGATCACAGTTGTCCAATGCTAGTGAAGATGTCCAAATTAAAGACAGATTTGCTGTACATCACAAGTCACCACTTTCTGGGGGTAGTCCAGCCCACTCCTCTCCTTGATATCCTTTCCTTTTCTGAAGTTATTTTAAACATAAAAAGAGGATTCTTCCATTTGGATGTTTTAATATAACTACAAACTCAATTTATTTTTAAACCATTACTTTGTTAGAACATTTGAGTCTAAAAGTAATGGCCTGACTTTTTTTTTTTTTTTTTTTTGAGATGGAATCTCACTCTTGTTGCCCAGACTGGAGTGCAGTGGTACAATCTTGGCTCACTGCAACCTCCGCCTTCTAGGTTCAAGAGATTCTCATACCTCAGCCTCCCGTAACTGGGATTACAGGCATGTGCCACCACACCCAGCTAATTTTTTTTTTTTTTATTTCTAGTAGAGATGGAATTTCACCATGTTGGCCAGACTGGTCTCGAACTCTTGACTTCAGGTGATCCGCCTGCCTCAGCATCCCAAAGTGCTGGGATTACAGGCATGAGCTACTGAACCTGGCCTATGACCTGGCTATTAATGGTGTATAATTCTTATTGAATGGCTTTTTTTCCACTTAATGGAAAGGCATTATTGTGTGAGGCCTGTAAGGGACTAAACCTTGATATATAAGAATAGGGTCTCAGTTGAAGCTGTGGGTTTTGAACTCTGGAAAAAAAGGGAGTTGTCCTGTAACAGGAAATGAGACAGTGCCGCACCACATGGAGATTCCCAGGTTTGAAACAAAGAAACCACAGAATATGCTGCAAAGCTGTGTGCCATGGGCAGAAGAGTGAAAGGGGACAGCACCTGTGAGCCTCACACAAGGGCTGGCCATGGTATGACCAGCAACTTGAATATTGCTGGCCTGACCATTCTTGCACAGCACATGTTCACCTTCTAGTTCTTTCCGTTTTGTTTAGGAAACACTTTTTGGTGGGTTTCATCTTACCTCTTGCTAAAAAGAAAGAGGGCTTTGGGTCCATGTGGGGGCTCTGAGCTTTTACTGGAGAATGGCGGGGCCCTGGAGCTGGCACAGTGGTTCAAATGGTCACCCCCCATGTGATGACTATAGGGAGGAGAGTAGTGAAGGCCACTGTTTAGGCAGCCACCATACCTGGACATTCCCTGGACAGTACTGAAGCCTGGAGGTTCAATGTTTTATTTTCACAGAAGAGCTGCTTACCTTAAGAGCATGCTGGATACCCCTTATCCCCTAGACACCCACGCATGAAACCAAGGAGTCATCTACTCAAACTGTCATCCGAGGTGTCTTTCCTTGAAATAAATACTCAAAAGAAAATAGTGCTACTCTCAAGAACAGCACAGGCCCATAGAACTATTGGTGATGACGGAATGTTCTGTATTTGTGCTGTTCAACATGGTAGCCACTAGGCAAGGTGGCTACTGAGCACTTGAAATGTATCTAGTGTGACTAAAGGACTGAATTTTTAACTTAATTTCCTGTTAATTGATTTTAATTTAAATAGCCACATATGGCTAATGTCTGCCTCATTGGTCAGTGGAGCTCCAGAGCTTTTTCGTGTAGTGGAACTCGGGACATAAGAATCACAGAAACTAGCCTTGACAACATGGTAAACTGCACCTCAAATACAAAAAATTAGCAGGCATGGTGGTGTGCTCCTGTAGTCCCAGCTACTTGAGAGGCAAAGATGGGAGGATCACTTGAGCCCAGGAGGTTGAGGCTGCAGTGAACCAAGATTGCACCACTGCACTCCAGCCTGGGTGACAGGGTGAGACCTTGTTTTAAAAAAACCAAAGCAAAAAAAATCACAGAAACCGCTTTCAGGTTCATGAAACAAGAAGGTTTGAGATGTATGTTTCAAGTTTGAGTTCCAGTCACATTTAAAAAGAATTCTTTTTTTCTTTTCAGAGACAAGGTCTCGCTGTGTTGCCCAGGGTGGAGCGCAGTGGCTTTTCATGGGTGAGATCCCACTACTGAACTGCAAGGAGTTTGGACCTGCCCCGTTTCCGACCTGGACTAGTTCACCTTTCCTTAGGCAACCTGATGGTGCCCTGTTCCAGGAAAGTCACCATATTAATACTGAACTTAGTGTGAACAGACTCCAGATTGGCATAGTGCCGTTCAACCCAGAACTGGGCTCAAGCCATCCTCCTGCCTCAGCCTCCCCAGTAGCTGGGACTATAGGCCACATGCCACAACGCCAGGCATCATTCACTTTTTTAAGGCTTTTCATCAAAAGGTGTCCATTTACCCTCTGTTCTCTGCTGTAGTCACAGAGGTCACTGTACCCAGTAGATTGTCACCTGCTTGTACCTGTGCTTACATTATCTCCACCTTGACTGCCTTCTGTTTTCCCATCTACCTGTTCATCTCCCACCTGTCTCCCTTAGTTTATGTACCCGCCTACCTCAAGAAGCTTTTATTTCTATTTTACATGAAAGTAAAATAGAGCACTTGAAAGTAAAATCCTCCAACTGGCACTGGAGGACTGGTGGCCAGGTTATTTGAGATATATATAGAATGTCCACTTAGCGTTGCCCTGATTTTCTGACAAAATGTAAGACCATTACAAATTCAGGCTTTATTTGCCTTCTAAATTCAGCCTTACAAAATAATATTCAAGGAAAACAGTGACATCTCACCAATAGATTGATTTTAATCATCTTAAATGATGGATTCTACAGCTTTTGGCCCATTCTGCTGAAATGGAGGACAGTACTGCCACGCAGAAAATGATGTCAGCTCGAGCCTGATCTTTCCTATTCACTCTTTGAAAACTCTAGAGGGTCAAGGGCTTCAACAAGCTTCTTAGAAGTGGCAGTATTGTACTAAGCTTCATGAGCCTCCGCCTTTCAGCAGTCCTGCCTGTGTTTCCTGTGGGGAACCAGCTTCATTGCCCCTGAGCTTGAACCGCATTCGCCAATCTGAGACAGAATTCGCAGGGCTAAGCGTTCCAGACCACTGATTGGCTTGTTCTGGATCTGCTGGCAGGAACCTCTGCACACGTGTGAGCACCCCTGCCGCCCCTTGGGCCACCTCGCGCCAGTCTCTAAGGCTGGGTGGCAGGGCGCTGTGACAGCAGGGACGACCAGAGAGTGGCAGCAGCTCACAATGATCAAATAATCGTGAAGAGGGACACCTGTGAACCCAGGCGCCACGGCAGGTGCTGCCCATAGGCGCCACGGGAGGGAATAAAGAGCGCTGCCCCGCCTTCCCCCCAGAGTTTTCGCAGCCTGCAGGGAGGGAGGACGTGCGAGGCCGAAGCATGGAGGCTATGGGTGTGCTGGCCAGTGTTGGTTTGTTGCTATTGCTGGTCATCGGCCACCCCAGAAGCCTAGGTGAGCCCAGGGCCCTGGGCACCAGGACTGCGGAGGAGGCTGAGTCTGCTGGAGAGGGAAGATTTCATTACTCCTTGCCTCAGGAAGTCAGGGTGGTATCGCCACACCTGAGGCATTTGGGAAGAAAGGGTGAGGGGTGGTGCATGCTCAGATGTCCCTAAAGGAAGGCCTGGGCCAGATTTCCTTTTTGAAATTTTTTGGATTCTAGAGTTCAAGTTTGTAGGCACACCTGATAATCATGTGTGTACTAAGGAGCCTCTTCCAAGGAAACCTAACCAAGTAGAAGTAACTTAAAGTCAAATATCTCCCTTCCAGAGTAGTATATGTTATTCCCCAGTATCTTTGTTTTGTTTTGTTTGTTTGTTTGAGACAGGGTCTTGCTCTGTCACCCAGGCTGGAGTGCAGTGGTGCGATCATGGCTCCCTCAACCTCCAGGGCTCATGTGATCCTCCTGCCTCCGCCTCTTAAGTAGCTGGGACCACAGGTAAGGTACGGGTCACCACACCTGGCTACTTTTTACTTTTTTTTTGTAGAGATGGGGTCTTATGTTGCCCATGGTCCTGAACTCCTGGGTTCAAGTGATCAGCCCACCTGGGCCTCCCAAAGTGCTGGGATTACAGGCATGAGCCACTGCACGTGGCCCCTGGTATCTTTAACACAACCTAAATTTGCATCTTCCCAAAGTAAGAACCAAGTCACCTACCAGAGGCAGCGCTGGCTCCTTCCTGCCCAGTGGTAACACAGGCTGAAAGGGAGCAGACAGGAGGCAAATTCTGGTCAACCCAGGTGACTGTGGGATATTCTGAAGAAAATATTGAGAGAAGAATGTGATAGTCTGCAGCTAAGTGCTATCAGAACGTCTGTGCCAGGCCAGGAAAATCCAAACGGGAAATCTTGGTAAAGTGAACTCTTAAATAAGGCTGTGTGTGTGCGCACACACACACATGTGCTCTTCTACACAGGACTGAAGTGTGGAATTCGCATGGTCAACATGAAAAGTAAGGAACCTGCCGTGGGATCTAGATTCTTCTCTAGAATTAGTAGTTGGAGAAATTCATCAGTGGCTGGACATCCGTGGCAGGTCAGTACAACAAAGGCATTGATTTCTTAATGAGAAAACGGTGAAATATTTCCTTTGTTTCAAAAGCAAGAATTCACGTTGATTTGTGGTTTTTCTCCTGACCCCCTCTAGCTCTCTACCAAAAAGTTTACTTCACAGGAACTATCTTACTATCCAATTTATGTCAGTATTTTAAGAATATTATGTCAGATTAGAAAAGTTGATCTTCAGTGTTTCTGATGGAGATACATCTGTGGGGAGACATATTAGCTGCGTTTGTAACTTTCTTCTCGGGCAGGTCTCCCTAAAATCACATGAGCACCACTTCTGCGGAGGAAGCTTGATTCAAGGAGATCGTGTTGTTACAGCAGCACACTGCCTGGACAGCCTCAGTGAGTAAGTTGTGGATTTCCATTACTTGTCAGGCCTTGATTCCTGGCTATGGGACTGGGAGATTTGTTGCTGTAAATAGCAGGTTCATTCTCAGTTCCTTTCTTAATTTTGCCTCCCAGTGGACCCACCCACTGATCTTCCTGATTCCCAGAAATGTGTGTCTGTTCCAAGATTTCCAGTGCTTCCTGTTCTACTGAATTAAACAATCCTAGACATCATCTATAATTTATGGATTTAGTGCTTGGGTAGAGGTGGTGGTTACTTACTATAATAAAGCATTAACAAGAAATGTTAGATGGATGCTCCAAAGTTTTAATCAGCTGGGTTTAAATCATTAGGCGGGAAAAAGCTGCAGAAATTACATATATTTGACCAGATTAATAGAGGGTACTAATAAGAGAAAAGAAGGAACAGTTCTAGAAAGCAACTTTTATATCCTGTTACAAATGGCATAGCATGTATGAACTAAGGTTTGTATATCAAAGAAGTAAAGGAGGCAATATTTAATTACTTGACTCAGAAAAATGGAAACATGATGAAAACCATGACTTTTTCTAGATTAAAAATATATGACCATTGGTAACACTCAATAAATAAAGAAAACCTTCTTCAAAGACTCAGGGATGCTTAAAGGTACATTAATCACTCTTCATTTAATTACATGAAACCAAGAAGACTTGTGTAGGGGAAACAACTATTTATGAAACATTTATCTTTGGTTTTAGGAAGCAACTGAAGAACATAATTGTGACTTCTGGGGAGTACAGCCTCTCTCAGAAGGATGAGCAGGAACAGAATATTCCTGTCTCAAAAATTATTACCCATCCTGAATACAACAGCCATGAATATATGAGTCCTGATATTGCACTGCTGTATCTAAAACACAAAGTTAAGTTTGGTGAGTACGGAGAGTTAGAATATTAAAAATACAATGGAGGAAAACTGCTAATTAGTTAACTTTAATGTCTGTGTGGCTGTCTAGTAATAGAATAGCTCAGCTTTGTTTCTTTTTAAAATAATTTTGTTCAGTCTATAACCTATTTAAAAAGAAAAGTACTGTATAAGCTACATATCCCAGCCACAAATTATTTATGCTTAACCTAACAACCAACATTTTTTTCCCTTTCATTTATTTTTATTGATACATATTACAAGTACATATTTTCAGGGTACATGTGATAATGTGATACATTCATATAATCAAATCAGGGTAATTAGGATATCTATGACCTTAATATTTATCTTTTTATATATGCTAGGAACGCTGGAATTACTTCTCTGATCTATCAAACATCAGGTGTATATTTGTATCCATTAATCAACCCCACTTCATCCTCCCCCCCTCCCTACCCTTCCCTGCCTCTCATAACCACAGGTTTACTCTCTATCTTCATGAGATTCAGTATTTTAGCTCACACTTGAGGGAGAATATGTGATATTTGTTTTTCTGTACTTGGCTTATTTCACTTAATATCCATGTTCAGTTTCATCTGTGTTGTTACAAATGACAAGATTTCATTCTTTTTATGGCTGAATAATATTCCACTGTGTGTATATACTACATTTTCTTTTTCATTCATCCATCGATGGACAACTTAGGTTAAGTCCATATTTTGGCCAACTAGTATTTTAAGGACTCCTGTTTCTTGGCTGGGTTCCATTCTAACTCCCTACCTATATTCACCTCTAACCAAAAAGCTTGGAACATTTGAAAATGTTTTCGGAGGCTTCTTTCTGTCATTACTATGAACAAGATATACAACACTCTCTCAACACAGGTAATATAAACTTTCTGGGTAAAATACTAAAAGACCCCCTCCTTTTTTTTTTTTTTTTAATGCAAGAAAAGGAAGTGTTACATGGCCAAAAACAAAGCACAAATCCAGAGTAGTTAGTCAGGCCACTGCCCTTGAGAGATCAAATTGATCTTTAAGATCCTAGAGATTTACCTGGCCGTGAGAGGAACTGTAAAGAACCTGGAAATTTCTGAAAGGTGATGCTTTGAAAGATAGGGAGAGGGAGTTGTGCATGTTATGCTACATAAAGTGAGGGAATAAGGGCACTTACTTTTCTCAACCTTGGCTCTAGATAGAGGGTTCTCAGAAGAATCTGTAATCATGAGCCAGGCCTCACTCAGGTTTGATGCTGGAATTGACATCACCTGTGTGGCACAAACACTCCAAGGCAAAATTTTAAAGTGGTTCCAGGTGAGTAATCAGCCTCTGCCAGAAGCAAAAATAAATCCTCTCTGAGAGAATGAAATTTAAATCCCAGCTTTAATATATTCCCATAAAGCTTTAATGAATTCGAGCACAGAAATGTGCAGAGAAATTTGCCATCGAAAATAGAGTCTGAAGCATTAACAATCAGAATCAGACCTTCAAAGGTTACAAATTTCAAGATAGAGAATAGAAAATGAGTATATTAAGGTTTAAAGAAGTGAAAGTGTACTGAAAATGATTGAACCAGAGGAAACTATTAGATGAAAGGGAAATTTGAAAATAAGCCAGTAAAATGTGAAAATATAAAAATGTAATTGGAATTAGAAACTCAACAGAATACTTATCTACCAGATTAGATTAGGTGTATGGAACTAGACAATCTGAAATAATTACCCAGAGGAGACAATGAGAATAAGAGACAGAGAAGACAGAGTGTAATAAACATTCAATTTGAAGTTTAGAAAGACTATGGATATTGGTGGAGAGTGACTGTAATTTTTTTTTTTTTTTTTTTTTGAGACGGAGTCTCGCTCTGCCGCCCAGGCTGGAGTACAGTGGCCGGATCTCAGCTCACTGCAAGCTCCGCCTCCCGGGTTCCCGCCATTCTCCTGCCTCAGCCTCCCGAGTAGCTGGGACTACAGGCGCCCGCCACCTCGCCCGGCTAGTTTTTTGTATTTTTAAAGTAGAGACGGGGTTTCACCATGTCAGCCAGGATGGTCTCGATCTCCTGACCTCGTGATCCGCCCGTCTCGGCCTCCCAAAGTGCTGGGATTACAGGCTTGAGCCACCGCGCCCGGCCGAGTGACTGTAATTTAAGAGAAAGTGGCTGAGGATTGATCATAATTGATATCCAAATCTTTAGATTTAAAAAGTTTAGTAACTCCAACTATGATACAAAAAATAATTATATATCTAGACATGTGCAAAAATGTAGCACACTAAAGGAAAGGACCCCAAAAGAATCTAGAAGGAAAAAGACACGTTACCAAAAATGGAATGTTATTGATTTCTCAACAGCAGTAAGTGAATGTCAGGAGATAGTAGATGATCAAAATACTGAGAATAACTCAAACCGTAAGTGTATATAAGAGGAAACTATGGCCCCATCTTTTCTTTCCTTTATAGAAAACCTCTACTAAGGGCCATCTATGCTAGTTATGTCAATTTCGTTTCCTCCGTTCTCATAGCTGGATGTATTAGGTTAAGATGTCTGTTCCACATTTAAGTGGATCAGACTTTCACTCCACTGTTCCATAAATGTGGTCTTGTCACAGTCACTAATGACCTCTATGTTGCTAAATTCAAAGTAACTTCTCAATTCCCATATTTCTGGATAAGAGTTTTTAGCAGAATTGCTCATATGTTCTTGGAAATATTTTCTTCACTTGAATTCTGGGAATTCATTAGTTATTCTCCTACCCTATTGTAGCCTTTCTTAGTCTTCTATGATGATTCTTCCTCTTTTCCTTGACTTCATATTGTTGGAATGCCCAGGCTCAACCCTGGACATCTTATTCTCTAGTTGGGTTCATTCTCATAGTGATCTCATCCAGGATCAATAATTTAAACATCTAAATCCAAAAAACTTTAGATTCATCCTTGATTCTTCCTTCTCTGACACTACATCCAATGAGTCAGAAAATCCTGTTGCTTCTTCCTCACTCACTTTACGCTTTTGCCATCTTGTTCCAGGCAATACTACCATCATTTCTTGCCTGGGTTAATGTTAATGGTCTCTGAAATTTACTCAAGTTGCTGCTTCTGTCTTCCTAATGTTTGTTATTAACCCAGTGGCCAGAATGATACTTTTTAATAGGTAAATCAGATTATATCACCCCATTCAAACAACTTCAATGGTTCTCCATTACATTTAGATGAAAATCAATGTCATTATTATCTGACATACCCTCTTTCCTAGTCCTACATCTAACCTCTGATTTGTTTATTTTTTTATGAAACTTACTTAATCTGCTGCAGTCATCCTGGCCTCCCACTGTCCCCTAAACATGCATGCATGATCCTGCAGCAAGGAGTATTTCTTCATCAAATGACTTCTACCCAGATAACTGCATGATTCCTTTCCTCAGCTTCAAGACTTTGCTCAGATGTCACCTGCTCAATGAGACTTTCCATGATCATCATATTTGAAATGACTCCTTCCATGCCATTCTCCCTAATCTCCAGACTAATCTCCTTTATCCTATTATTTTCCATAGCATTTATTTACCACTGAACAACATATTATATTTGCTATTTGTTTCTTCTCCCTTCACTCAACACACAAAGACAAATATACACACTCATGTAGGTTGTACCAAGACAGAAATATTTTTCTTTCTGTTCATTCATTGAGATCTAAAAGAGTGCTTGCCACATGATAATTTGATCATCTTGTTCTACTATCTTCTAACATTCACTTACTGCTGTTGAGAAATCAATAACATTCCTTTTTGGTAGTATGTTTTTTTCCTTCTAGATTTTTTTGAGATCCATTCATTGTTTTTAGTGTGCTACATTTTCAGCACATGTCTAGATATAAAATTATTTTTTGTATCATAGTTGGAGTTATTGAGCTTTTTGCTAAAGATTTGGATATCAATTGTGATCAATCCTCAGCCACTTTCTCTTAAATTACAGGTTTCTCCCCACAATTATCTATATTTTTTCTAAATTTCCCAGGTTCTTTACAGCTCCTCTCATGGCCAGGTAAATTTCTAGGATCTTAAAGATCAATTCAATATCTCAAAGGCAGGGGCCTGGCTAATTCCTCTGGATTTGTGCTCAACAGCTGTCGAGTGAAAAACTCTCCTTTCAAAACAAAGCCATAGTCTAAAATGTTAGTAGATTGGGGGGCTCATGGTGGTGTGCAGAACAATTGGCCTTATGTTTTTCCTTGTTTTACTTTTTCTGCATTTCTCCAAATTTCTATAAATACAAAACAGTTTTTATGGGGGGGCCAAAACTTAAAATATGTCACCATTACATTTAGGAAGAAAGTGTAGAAACCATAAAATCAATAGATTTCACTTTTCCAAATATATTCAACATGGTATATTTATCCATGAACCTCATGCCTTTGTTGTTGTTTTCTCAGGAACTGCTGTTCAGCCAATCTGTCTTCCTGACAGTGATGATAAAGTTGAATCAGGAGTTATTTGCTTGTCCAGTGGATGGGGCAAGATTTCCAAGAGTAAGGGACATCAAAATGGCTTAATACTTCTTCCAGATCTCTGTATGTCCAGGGGAAGCAGAAATAATTTTCTTGACCATGAGTTGTACATTTATCATTTTTTATCCCTAATTTCTGACACAACGAAGATTTCTGGTTATCCTCAGCATCAAAAGGCTTATACTTCTTAAAAAGCTATTCATATCACTCCTGTTGCTGCCAATTTGGTTAGGTATGGCAGATAAAGGAAGCTGGATAGAGCTGTGATAGATGAGGAGGTATAAGGCAAAAGGATGATCAGGAAATAGTAATAACAGTTAAGTTTCTTTGTCTTTAATATTGTGACTTTTTAAAAAAGTGAGACTCAGAAACAAAAAGTAGAAGAGTAAATACCATGGATTTGAGAGTGAAAGAAAAGGGAAGATGTTGTTCAAAGGGTGTAAATGTGGAATTGTATGACAAGTAAGTCCTGGAAAGCCAATATACTGCATGGGAACTATAGTTAATATATTGAATACTTGAAATTTGCTAAGAGGGTAAATGTTAAGTATTCTCACTACAAAAAAGTTAACTCTGTGAGGTGATGTAATGTTAATCAGCATGATTGTGGTAATCATTTTACAATGTATACATATACTAAAACATCACTTTGTACTCCTTGAATAAATACAATTTTTATTTGTCAACCTCAAAGCTTGACAAAAATACATTGTGATTTTTTATTTTATAAAGAATTTTAGGCAGGGTGCAGTGACTCACGCCTCTAATTCTAGCACTTTGGAAGGCCAAGGCAGGAGGATGGGAGCCCAGCAGTTGAAGACCAGCCTGGATAGCATAGGAAGACCTTGTCTACACACACACACACACACACACACACACACACACACACACACAAATTAAAAATTAGCAAACCATGGTGGCATGCCTGTAGTCCCAGCTACTTGGGAAACTGAGGTGAGAGAATCACTTGCTCCCAGGAGGTTGAGGCTACAGTGAGCCTTGACTGTACCATTGCACTCCAGCCTGAGTGACAGAGGGACACCTTGTCTCAAAAAAAAATGATTGTTATAAAACATTTCTGTATTGACCAAAGTTTTCCTCTGTTGGGGAAACATTTAAGCATTTGTTTAGAGAAGCCACAATTGTACAATTGCCTATGTTACCCTAAAAATCTGCTGAATATTTTTAAAATGTCCTCTGCCATGTATCTGATGTTTAGAAGTGAATATGATTCACACCTAAAAACCATTTTACTTCTACATGTGGTTAAAAATCTGTTTGAAATAGTTCTAAACTTGTAGACTTCTCATTAATTTGTTTCCATGAGGATATTGTATACTAACTTATCTGTCCTCTCTCTGTAGCATCAGAATATTCAAATGTCCTACAAGAAATAGAACTTCCCATCATGGATGACAGAGCGTGTAATATTGTGCTTAAGAGCATGAACCTCCCTCCCCTGGGAAGGACCATGCTGTGTGCCGGCTTCCCTGATGGGGCAGTGAACGCCTGCCAGGTACAAAAGTGTAAACCAGTCTAGTTGTTTACCAACATGTGGGTGAAAGTAGATTCTGCCTTTCTGCAAAAGAAGCTCCTGTTTCTTCTGTTACTGTGTCAAAATTCCTTTTCCCTTCATCTTTTCATCTGATTTCTACTGAAAAAGTGTACTTGACCTAAGCAGAAAGAATTATTTCCTGTCTCCACATCCATTCCTACTCCTACACTTCTTTTATTTTGGTGGGTTGGGAAAAGGGATTAGTTTGAACGTGTCCAACCTAATGGAATCAAGCAAGATGACCACTTTCACAATCTTATTAGGTCCAGCTATGAATTCTTCATTTCACATGTTGTTAAGCATTGTGGAATGTTTTTCCATTGGTGCAGAATATATTTGCATAAAATTTGACCGAAGATACATAGCTTTGGTCACAGTTGTGTAAGAGATATTGGGAATGACCACAATCTCCCAAGACTGACACAACTTCACAATGAATACCAATCTTCATAAGATATTTAGAGGGGACAAGGAGACCAATATTTGAAACACAGGAGTTTTAAGTTTTAGATAGGTCTTCCAAGTAAATTACCTTCTCTTTTAAGGTGGAGCACTAAGGAGTCATTATTCTTTGCCAAAAAGCGGCTTGAAAATGTTGAGGGAAGCTCTCTGAAATTATCTGTTGGAAAGATTTTTGAGTTTTTCTTAGAGGCAATGACAGGAGTTTGGGAGGGAGGAGACTGAAACTTACACTTATGCCACTTTCTAAATTGGAAAACAGGGTAAAGGTGCTTTTTGTTATCTGCATTCATTATAGGCAATCCTTTTTTGGATGAAACCCTCTACACCTTGTGAGAAGAGTTTAATCTGACAAAAAGTTGTCTGAAACAGTGTCTTAAAGTGGTATAGATTCTGGAATGTTATTGAAGATGTAATCCTAAAACCTTGGGTTCTTTATTCTGTAGGATAAGAGCCAGTGTGGTCCTTTACATATATCCCCTGGATAAAATTAGGTTTCCCAGGCTTTCTTTTTTTTTTTTTTTTTTTTTTTGGAGACAGAATCTCACTCTCTTGCCCAGGCTGGAGTGCAATGGCACAATCTTGGCTCACTGCGACCTCTGCCTCCCAGGTTCAAGCGATTCTCCTGCCTCAGCCTCCTGAGTAGTTGGGATTATAGGCACCCGCCACCACGCCCAGCTAATCTTTTTGTATTTTTAGTAGAGACAGGGTTTCACCATGTTGGTCAGGCTGGTCTTGAACTCGTGACCTCAGGTGATACACCATCTCTGCCTCCCAAAGTTCTGGGATTACAGGTGTGAACCATGCGCCCGGCCCAGGCTTTCTGTTCTTAAAGCCTTGAGGCCTTGAACTATCTTGGGGGATCTATTCACTGATGCTCTATAGGACTGGAAGATGACCTAGGCTTTCCTGCAATTCCAGGTGACAAGCTATAGTAGAAGCATCTATCTATACTACCTCCCTTCCAACAATTTTTAGAATGTACATGGTAGTGGGGAAAAAAAAAAAAAAAGAGGAAGAAAAAGTGTTAACCTGACAAGATTGCAGCCAATAGGTATAAAGAGATTTTATCTTGATTAAAAGATTGTGCCTTGAAACTAACGATAAGGGCACAAGAAAATGGATAAACAAAAAGTTGATGGACGATGACTAGTGGACTTCTTTGCCTCTACCTCTTTTCACTTTGTGATGAGTGCTGATGTTTGCGGAAATGATGAAATATTTTACACTGTGGCTATTTTCAAATTTTCTCTTTTTTTGTACCATGAAAGAGGGACTCTGGAGGACCACTGGTTTGTAGAAGAGGTGGTGGAATCTGGATTCTTGCTGGGATAACTTCCTGGGTAGTCGGTTGTGCTGGAGATTCAGCTCCTCTAAGAAATAACCATATGAAGGCATCACTTGTCATTTTCTCCAAAGTGTCTGAGTTGATGGATTTTATCACTCAGAACCTGTTCACAGGTAGGTGAATTCTTTCTTCCTCATCTCATCCTAACTCAAGGGTAGTTACTCTGCTATGTTGCGATATTATCAGAACTAAGCTTTAGAACAAAGCAAGAATAAGGCTGGTTTTAAATTCTTAGTCCAATGTAGATACTTGTGTCTCTGAAACTCTGAGTATAGAAATCTGTCAATAAAACTTGAACAAACCAAATCCCTGTATAAAATTTTCATGAGATGCGTTTTTGCATTTATGAGATTTTATTAACAGACCTTGAGAATAGACTCATTAGGGGATTTTTTTTTTTTTTTTTTTTTGAGATGGAGTCTCGCTCTGTCGCCCAGGCTGGAGTGCAGTGGCCCGATCTCAGCTCACTGCAAGCTCCGCCTCCCGGGTTCAGGCCATTCTCCTGCCTCAGCCTCCCGAGTAGCTGCGACTACAGGCACCCGCCACCTCACCCAGCTAGTTTTTTCTATTTTTTAGTAGAGACGGGGTTTCCCCGCGTTAGCCAGGATGGTCTCGATCTCCTGACCTCGTGATCCGCCCGTCTCGGTCTCCCAAAGTGCTGGGATTACAGGCTTGAGCCACCGCGCCCGGCCTCTTTCTTCATTTTTTCGGTTGGCACAGTTTTTCTCTGTACTACTTAAGAATACTAAAAATAAATCACTCATCTCCCACTTTGCCCGCTCAACCTTGTTAACTTACTTGGCAACAGTGAAAAAATGAGGGAGGCCTTGGAGAGTTAATTTGGCTCTGTGACACTAAAATCTAAATTAGGAAAATGTGGGCCTGGAGATACCAAACCTGTCCTCTGCAGAATGAAAGAGGCCTGAGAGAACACAGCTTTCCGGAACAAGCAGTTGAATGTAGGAACCAAGTATTTTTTTAAATGACAAGACCCAGAGCCCCAGAACATAGTGCTCTTTCTATCCTCCATCCGTTTCTCATGGCAGTCCAAGGGCAGCCACCTGACTGAGGGCTTTTAGAAGTGGTGCTGTGGATCCAACCACAGGCCAGCACTTCCTCGAACTGCCGCAGACTCTTCTTTGGTCTTAGATGTAAAAGTCCTCTTCACTGCTCTACTGCAGGGGAGCAATTCTCTTCTGGTAGCAATTATATTCCATTTTGATCACCTGGAAGGGAAAGTTGATAAGATTTAAAAGCCCTGAACAAAGGTAAATGGTAACAATGAGATTTTACAAGAGCAATGAAATCAGACATTAATGGTTAATCCCAGTGAAATGAACATCGGAATGTGATAAGTGATTTATTTAAATAATGCTTCCGTAGGATAATCTTCTAAGCTTCTCATCCTCTGTTTGCCTATTTTTTTTTTCCAGTTCATCTTCCCTATCTCTTTCCAGAACTGGCTATGCTTTGGAAATAGAGTTAAATTCAGTTTTCTTAACCTTAAAAATCAGAGAATTGAATATTTCATATTTTATTTTTTGAACCACACTAACCAACAAATCAAATAAATTACTTTCTGCTTCCACATAGTCCTTTAACCTTTTTTAACCTTTTTTAAAAATACTCCACATAGTGAGTATTGGATCACTCACTCTGAGAAAAAGATTCCCTCTGCATTGATTTTAGTAGAAGTTACAATTCTTAATAGTCTTTAACGTCACCTTGTTAAAAATGTTTTATTTAAGTGATTATTATTGGAAAAGACACTAACTCCTCATACCTTCTACAGGTTTGGATCAGGGCCAACCCATCTCAAAAGTGGGTCCGAGGTATATAACAAAGGCCCTGAGTTCTGTCCAAGAAGTGAACGGAAGCCAGAGAGGAGAGGGTATGTGTGGTTCTAATTAGAGAAGGAAGCTGACTTGAAAAGAGTCATCAGAGGAAAGTAAACAGAAGGGTTGTACCATATTCACAATCTGAGTTTTATTTAAATTTTCGAATGTAAACTTTAAACGCCCCTCCCATATTCATACGTAGGCACCAACGTTTAAAACCTAACCCTGGCATCTAAAGCTTTTGAGTAAATGAGGGAGACTTTCCATGCCATTACTAAAAGTTTTATCCATTTATTTATTTATTTATTTATTTAGAGATGGAGTCTCACTCTGTCACCCAGGCTGAAGTACAGTGGCAAGCAGTCTCTGCTCACTGTAACCTCCGCCTCCTAGGTTCAAGCAATTCTCCTGCCTCAGCCTCCCAAGTAGCCAGGACTACCGGCACCTGCCAGCACGCCCAGCTAATTTTTGTATTTTTAGTAGAGACAGGATTTCACCATGTTGACCAGGCTGGTCTTGAACTCCTGACCTCAGATGATCCACCCACCTCGGCCTCCCAAAGTGCTGGTGCTGGGATTACAGGCATGAACCACTGCACCTAGCTTATTTAGCATCTTCTTTTTTTTTTTCAAGATTGAGTCTCGTTCTGCCACCCAGGCTGGAGTGCAGTGGCATGCACTCTGCCTCCTGGGTTCAAGCAATTCTGCCTCAGTCTCCTGAGTAGCTGGGACTACAGGCATGGACCACCACACCTGACTAATGTTGGCCAGGCTTAGTCTCAAACTCCTGACCTCAAGTGATGCACCCGCCTCAGCTTCCCAAATTGTACTTTAGCATCTTTAGAGGAAGGTGTTTAACCTTACCCAAGACAGCCTAGAAAGAGATGGGAAAGTTGGATAAATATTACATCTGAAGAAGTGTTTTAAAAAGTTTCTATTTTGATTCAAATTATGGTGAATTCAGAAATGTTTTTAAAGTCTGTTTGCAAATACAACGTCTAAATCATAGCCTCTAAAAATATTTGCATTCCCATAAATATCAATGAAATGAATAATATAAATCGTACAGCTTCAGGCTGGCCTCTGGATCATTTTGAAATGTTGTCTATGGGTGAGGAAAATGATTGACTTCTTTCCTGTGTTTTTGAAGATTGTAAACCTCAGGGGACAGTGTTATTTGGAGAAAATGGGAAGATTCGTTACCCCCATTCCAAAGGAGACTACTATTGTCATAATTGGTATGTATCCCACATAGGCGTGATTCCTGGGGCGTTTCCTCCCACAAAATGGGGCAGTTTAAAAGACTCCACTTTGGCAATTTTTTTTTTTTTTTTTTTTAGATAGGGTCTCCCTATGTTGCCCAGGTTGGGCTTGAACTCCTAGGCTCAAGGGATCGTCCCACCCCAGCCTACTAAGTAGTAGGGATTACAGGGACATGCCACCATACCTGGTTTATTTTGGCAATTTTATCTAGTATTTCCAGTTCTAATATAAAAGTATATGTTTCATCTGATATTTTTAGGTTGGTGAATATTTACTCATTAATGTAAATCATCAACCTGAATAGTTATTAAACTAAAGTTTACTTGAATTGATGTATTCAAATATGTAATACTGACAGCATCTGGTAATGACATTGCTATGGGATTTAGTGATTAATTCTGTCACATTTATTTCTATAATCATGGTAATATTTTGCTTAGCATCACCTAGAAGATGGAAAATAGTTCATGTCCTATAAGCTTTAGTATCTTTTTACAAATTTTCTACATACCCTGTCCTCTAAAATATATCTAAATATAGCTAAAAATATCTTTAAGTTTTAGAAAATTGTTCTGCAAGTATCTCATTTTCTTAAGTGATCTAAATTCGTTCTTAAAATTGTACTGAGAATTGAATAGTGTACTACAAAGATAACAGTTCTACAAACTTATAATCTGGTAAAAAGAGCTAGACAAAAATAACTATACTACAAAACAAGAAGAAATAAGCTTTATAATCCACACATCCAAGAATGTGCATACTACAAAAAAATAGAGACTAATTGTCTATGGTGTGGTTTTTACGGTGCGTGTAGAGTGGTTAGAAGTGTGGGGAGAGATATAAATGTTATAATGGAAAAGATGACATTGAAATGAGATGTTGAAGGATAGTTATGATTTTATAGCTCATGAGGTCTTTGGTGGTTCTAATACTGAAGATTTCAACAGATGGAGAAGCAGGAAAGAGGTCGTTCTAGGCCAAGGGAATTAGGTATAAGCAATGTCAAGGAGGTGGGGAAGATTAGGGTTGTTTGGGTTCTGAGTATCCCACTGTGACTGGACAACAATGTGAATGGGAACTGGGGTAGCAGTGGATGATGAGGATGGAAAGGATGATCGGGACTTAATTGCAGAGGACCTGAAGTTCCATGCAGCGAGATTAGACCGTATGTTACAGTCAATGGGTATGCTAAAACTAAAATGATGGAAAGATTATAACTATCAGAACTAATGTAAAATGAATATAAATATTTATTTCAAGTACAGATAGAAACGATGTGGCTTAATTTCAGCTCATAATTTAAAAGGCTTAATGGTCTAAACTGACTTTGTCTCAGGCAAACTTGTGATGATAGAATGCCAGTAAAGCTTTTGCCACCTTTGCTTAAGCTATTGGAATAATATTTAGAACAAGAGTTTAAGAAACTATTTTATTAGAGTCTCAGGGAAGGGACCTCTAGGGTACAATCCTTAGACAGAGAGATTGATAAGCCAGAATTTGTCTGAAGGACAATGACCAAGATGGGAAAAATATTTAGAACGTTTTGTGAGGTATGGTTGTGGGAACTATAATATTTTTGATACAGAGAAGACTGAAGAGGAGGAAGGAAGTGTCTTGATTTGTCTTTGAGGCTACTAAAGAAGCAGAATTTGACTTATTCTGAATGATTGCAGAGCTGAAAACTAAGATTACTGAGTAGAAGTTAGAAGGCAGAGTTCAATTCAATATGAAGTCATTTCTTGTTTGAGTCATTTCTGAAATTAACTAGCCTGCTTCAGGAAGTAATCAATGCACTTGATAAGTGGATATTTGAGCAAAGTATTTGTATATTGGGTAAGAGACATGCAGATGGCAGCCTACTTACCCTCAAACACAGAGACTCAACTTAGACAATTAAGCATTTCAGAGATCTCTGCAAGAAAATGTTTCAAGAAAAGGAGGGCTATTGTAGAAGTAAAAATCAAATCAAATGCCATTGCATATGGAAACTCAAACTTCTTGAACTGAGCAGAACTGTGGGATCAAAAGTCATATTCATAATGGGTTAAGTGACTGTTGAAAATTTAGTATCCCAAATAATCAACACATTTTTATTGAACCCTTAGGATGTGTAAAACACCGTCTTAGGTGCTAGAGATATAGCAGTGAATGAAACACATGAAAATGCTTGCCTTTGTGGGGCAAGTTAGAAGGTGGAAATGGGATAATTTTTAAATGTTACATATAATAGTAGAAGGTAGTAAATGCTATACCAAAAAATAAAGCAAGAAAGGGAGGTGGAGAATGAGAGTATACAATATCAGAGAGGGTGGTTAGAGAAGACCACATTATAAAGATGACACTTGGAAAAAAAGACTTGGATAAAGCAAGGGAGGAAATTATATGATCATTTTGGAAAGGAACAGTCCAGGCAGAAGGAATGGTAGGTGTGAGACAATAATACATTTGATATACTTGGGGAACAGCAAAGAGAGCAGAGAACCAGAGCTGAGTGGCTGGAGAAGGGCAATGTGGCCAAATTATTTCGGACTTACAGGGCATGAAAAGAACTTTGTATTTTTCCGTAAGGGAGATAGAGAGCCATTGGAGGATTTTGAACAGAGGAAGATCATGATCTGACACATTTCAAAAAGATGACTTTTATTACTGGGTTGCAAGTAGACTGTAGGCAGGCAAGACCACAAGCTGGGAGACCAACTACTGCAATAGTCCAGGTAAAAGATGATGCAATCATCCAGGTAAAAATCTAACTTTGACCACATTTGTAGAGGTGGTGAAGAGTGGTAGGGCTGTAGGATTTGCTGATGAGTTGACAATTTGGGTTTTGAGGGAGAATGAGATCCCCATATGAGTAAACTAAGAGTTTTTAACCTGAGCTATTGGAAGAATAGAACTGTTGTCTGAGATGCAAACGTTGGGGCGGTGGCTTTTAGACAGTAGAGTCAAGAGAAGCATTTTGTTTGTTTTGATAAAGTAGACTCAACTGTGCTTACGGACAGAGAGTGAGAGTTAAGAGTCATAGGAAACACATAGAAATGTGAAGTAAGCTTTCAGAGAACACAACAAATAAAGAAGGTTTGGCATTGAGAAGAGGGCAGAATAATTCCTTTTCTGGGAAAGCAACAAAGAAGGTAATCTATAGGAAAGTTGAAGGAATTTACACTGGATGTCTTAGTTATCACATGAGATTTTAATTGCTTCAACTTTAGAAGATGAAGTAGAGATAAAATAGCTAAGATATTAAATAGTTTATAGGGACTAAAGTAAGGAGTCAACCAGAGATTAATAAGACTTTCAATAGCAGTAAAATCCAATTAGTATTAGCATCTATTTATACTATATTTCAATAAATCAAGACAAAAAATTCATTGTAAAATACAGCTTCAATAGGAGAAAACAAAATTCCCAAGATAGGTTCATATAAGGCTGAGTCACCCAAGACTACCTTCAGTGTAAGGCTAAACAAGGTGTAAACCCACCCACACGGAAAGTTACATGCCTCAACCTTGGCACTAGATGTAGGGAGAGGTAAAAAATTCTTTGAGAATTTGAACCACAGGTTAATACTCGTGCAGATCTATCATCTAAATTCACACCTCAAGTATAGGCCAAAGCATGTCAAGCAGAAAAATTTGGCACTGTGAAGTTGATAGTGTGCAATGTGACTGACAGAAGTGTATACAGATACTGCCCGGAAGAACTCTTTCAATTCAGGTCTACAGAAATCGTAAGACTCCTTTGTAAGATGCATTCTAATTTTAGAATGTGAAAATGTGGAAAAATTGTGTTTTAGAAATGAGGTATAGGGCCAATTTGCACAGTTAGTGACTTCTTCAGCATGCTGAGTAGCCTTAGATACTGAAAGGGTTTTGTAAATTCCAACTGGAGCTAACTAGGAAATCATAAGGCAGACAGAGATAATATAAAGAGGGAGAGAGTTACACAGTCCCTCCAAGCCTCTCTGTATTCTGGTAGGTGGTAGCTAGATTCTCAGAAATGACAGATACCACCCAGGTTGCCCTCCTTCCTTTCATACCCATGGGAGATATTGCATTTCTCAGAGCCTAGATCAGTACCTGTCACATAATTAATGCTCTATAGATTATTTGAATTAATAAATCAATGGTTTGTTTGGGGACCCCTCTCTCACTTAGCTTGACCAGACCTCAAAATCCTTTTAAAACAGCAATCACTAATAATAAATCAAAGTTGGCATAGATTTGAAACCTATTTTTCATCTTTGAGCTAGAGATTTTGAGGCCGAAAATAATTTGATGATGGAACAATTTGAGAAAGTACCGGCCTTTGAAGTCATAAAGCCTAAACAGTTCCACTTATACAAGAGACGTGATGAATCTTTTATTATCAATGCCAGGTTTCCCATTTGGAAACAGAAGGATAATTTCTCTCCTGCCTACCTCAGAGAGATGTAATGAATCTCAAAAAGGATGATGGATGTGGAGTGCTTTTTTCCATTGAAGTGCTTGGCAAGTGAGCTTTATAATATTTTAGACAGCTTATTTTTACATCTATATTCAGGATGATGGACTTGGATAGAAAAACACTAAAGTAAAGAGTTTCCGGCTGGGCACGGTGGCTCAGGCCTGTAATCCCAACACTTTGGGAAGCCGAGGTGGGCAGATCATGAGATCAGGACCAGCCTGGCCAATATGGTGAAACCGTGTCTCTACTAAAAATACATAAATTAGCTGGGCATGGTGGTGCATGCTTGTAGTCTCAGCTACTTGGGAGGCTGAGGCAGAAGAATCACTTGAACTGGGGGTAGGGGCGGAGCGGAGAGGCACCACTGATGCCAGCCTGAAGTAATAGAGTGGAGACTCGAAGGGAGGAGAAGGAAGGGAAAGGAAGGAAGGAAGGAAAGAGGAAGAGAAAAGGGAGGGGGGAGGAGGGGGAGGAGGGAGGGAGATTCCAGTTAAGGAGATGTCTGGTAAAAAAAAAAAAAAAAATTATTAGTGTTTGCTTTTTGGAACCTGGGCATAAAAGACTTGACTAATTCCTAAAGTCCTTATTAGTAAAGGGCAGTGAGGCTGTTAACAGGTCTAAGGTAAAGACTGCTGAATTTTGGAAAGAGTTAATTCGAGCATGTTAGATTCTAGGTAAGATTGCTTTGCTTTCAGGTGAAGGTGAGACATGGAAGAAGCTAGGATTTATGGCCCACTAGGATTTATTTTCTTGAATAATAAATTTATGTATGAAAATAAAGGTAAGGGATTATTTTCGTACTCTCTCAAGTTTAGATATGCTTTTAAAAATGTTAGTGAAAAGTCACAGCTGACCTTACTGGGAGTTAGAGAGATGACATTTTAACTCAGGGACTGTGACTTAGGATGACTTCGGAATATGTGGCTGTTTAAGGTTAGCAAACACTGCATGGTCAATTCATAATTCATGAGAATCATAATTCAACCTCTGGATGAATAGTATGAATTTTAATTAGGTGAATAACTCAGATGAATCTTAGGTTTCTTCAATTTATAGATCAAAATTCTAGCATTTTATAACTAAATGAAATTTAAGGGGTGTTTTCTGGTCATTCTCCAATTAATACTCATCTATTTGTCAGATAAATGTTATTAATTTGAGCACAAATTTTTCTCACAATGTTCCATTGCCTTTTATCTTCTAGTATTCTATAAAATTGTATTGTTGTTGAGTTGTGAGATAAAGCACGGGTGTTAGATTTTATTTATCAAATCTGATTCTGCCATTTGTTATATTTTCTTCACCTTCCCCTATCCCAGCTTATATGTTTGGAAAATAATGGTACCAAAGGATAAAATAATCCTGATAAAATTTACAAGTTTAGACATGGAAAAGCAAGTTGGATGTGATCATGACTATGTATCTTTACAATCAAGCAATGGAGTGCTTATTAGTAAGTATGTTACATTTGTTTTTATTTATCATGTTAGAGTATCGGAAAGACCAAAGAGATACTAAAGGATGTAAAATAAAATTTCTGGCTGCTCTGCCTATGGAGTAGCCATTATTTAATCCTTTACTTTCCTAATAAACTTTCTTTCACTTTACTTAAAACAATAAAAATAAAAAATAAAATTTCTTTTATTGTACCAAGGACAATGATCTCATCTTGCACACTGTTCCCTTCTAGAAGGGTTAAGGGGAGGATAGGAAGAGTGGAGACAGTGGTCAGCACACTGACTATTCTCTTCAGTGTTTTTCTGAATTAGGAACCAGATCTCACGTTCCTCTCTCAAGTTCAGTAACAGTGTTGAATGCAACTGATGTCACAGTTGTCAGAAAACTTCCTTTTGAGGCAATTTTTTTTATTATTTTTATCACAAAAGTGGGTATATGTTTACCAAATTTGATAAATACAGATGAGCCAAAGGAAAAAAAATATAAACCATTCATAACCCTGTCACCTAGAGATAATCTCTATTAGCATTTAGAGGTGTATCTATTTACACATACACTTTGAACTTTACATTGTTTGATATAATTTCCTTCTCATAACACAAATGATCATTTCATGTCATTCAATTTCTTTTATTGAGTACCTCTTATAGGCTACATAAACATAACCAATATATCTAACTTGGTTGAAATACTCTGTGTTAACCATGATAGAAGCTCTCTAGAGCTGGTATAGACCTGGATCTCTAGATCTCTATAAGGTCAATGGTTAGGACAAATGTCTCTTCACACATATTTGACAGGAAGCTATAGACAAAGTACTGTACTAGGGGTTATAATATTTATTGTCTAAATTATTTCATGCTCAGGCCTGCTATTTACACAGTAATTATTCTTTCAACCAATCATTTGTTAAAAATTAACTGTATGTGAGATACCATACCAGGTACTGGACATTTTTTGAGAAAAAGCACTCTCTGCCCAAATAAGTTGTAGTTTGAGGTAATCAAAGGTGTAACACAAAGTTGGAAATACCATTAAAACAGGGAATGTGCTGTGCTGATTCAAAAAAGGTAGCTCTTATTTCGAGTGGTTGTCTGGTAGAGTTTATCGGGGATCTGAATTTTGAGTTAGGCCCTGAAGAATGAGTAGAATTTGGACATGAGAGACTAGGGAGTGAGAAGGCAACTGGAATAGCAAAGTCACTGAAGGAGGGAATGTTGAATGATCAAAGGGCCATTAAATAGTTTAGTGTGTTTAGACCAGAGATCTCATGGAAGATGATGGAAAACAAAACAAACATGGATACGTTTCCACCACTCTTTAGTCACGTTATTTCACTTTCCTTCACTTCTTTTAAGGTAAGGTCTGTGGAAATATATTGCCCTCACCATTGCTGACAGAGACCGGTGAGACCATGGTTCCATTTGTTTCTGATACAGAAGACGGTGGCTATGGCTTTGAGCTTACCTTTACTGCCATACAGAACTCAGAAGCAGGTGAGTGTTTCAGGTATTTAATTCCCTGCCATTTTCCCTTGATGTGTGTGGGGAAGAGGAGGAGGAAATGCCTTTGGCCATTCACTTTGAATTTCCCCAATGTTTCCACAGGGTCAGGTTGTGGAAGTGTGGCTATATTGGTAGAAGGGACAAATCACTCTGCCAAGTATCCTGATTTGTATTCCAGTAACGTAAGGTGTCATCGGTTCATTCGTGCTCCAGAGAAACACGTTATAAAGGTAGGCAACTGAGGAATCACTCTACGTCATAGAGGATAGAGTTACCTTAGTTAGGCAGAACTTAATTCATCTGGATTGTTAAATTGCTATTATGACTAGGAGCTTCTTTTTGCCGTATATATATATTTTTAACTCTGAAAAGAGATCTCTGTGTGTGGTTTTAACAACTTTCAGTGGTTTAAAAGTATATACAGTGAAAAGTAAGGCTCCTCATCAGATTCCCATTCTACCCCTGGAGAAAAACACTGATTTAGTATCCTTGGGAGGTATTTTGAGCATTTACTTGTGTGTGTGTGTGTGTGTGTGTGTGTGTGTGTACTTATGCTACTTGGCAATGCCTTGTTCACTGAAAAGTATCTCAAAGATCTTTCCAGATGAGCCCACAGAACTCTTTTTAATAACTGCATAAAATATTGTATGATATTTCAGAACACATCAAACTAGTTCCCTATTAACAGATGTTTATTGAGTTTTCAGTCTTTGGTCATACCAGCCGTGGTGCCATGAATATCTGCCAGTGTCTTTGAACACATGTGGATATGTATAATTCCCAGAAGTAGACTTGCTGGGTCAAAGGGTTTGCACATTTAAACGTGGTAGTCATTGCCAAATTGCCCTTCAAAGAGACTGCAATTATTTACACGTCTATGTGAAAGCATATGAGGATGTGACAAAGAGCCTTTAAATACGCAGAGGTAAACCCTTGAAGCTTCTCTCTTCTCTGACCATTTCCCTGGTTATGTTTCATTTGTACAGTTGACATTTGAGGACTTTACTGTCAAACTTAGTCCAAACTGTATTTATGATGCTGTTGTGATTTATGGTCATTCTGAAGAAAAGCACAAGTTCGGTAGGTAGCCTTCACCCTTCAAATATGAAAGCGTTAGACTAATCAGAGTAGTTGCAACATGGACTGACTTCCTTGGATACCATAGGTAGAGTGGGAGTATGAATTTCTTGCTCTGGAAACTCAGAATGCCATACAACTTTAGCTTTAAAACCTATGAGCCAGCAACTAATTTGCATTCCATTTTAATGGAAATGTGCAAAATGCAAAGATTGTTTCAGACTATATGTAAAGTGAAAAGGCAGTCCCCAGAGAAAGGATAAAATGGTAACAGTGAGTAAATTTTTGGCAGTTATTTAAGGTAAATTTTAAAGCTTCCTTTTTTCTGTATTCCTTCTGTTGCTAATATTTTGATATTTGTGTCCAAGAAAAGTAACCAACACCTATAATTTCTGTGTAGGTATAACAATTAATTTTAAGACTTTTAAAACTTCAAATACACTTTTAGTTGTGACCTAACAATTTACTGAGTTTGAAGATTTAACGTCCAGCCCTCTAACCACTTTTGTAGGACCTAGTATCTGTCCTTCAGCTAGATGTTTGTGTGGGTTAGAGGCCAGGATTATAGATTGGCTTGGAATATTTATTTAGACATTAAGGGCAGGTTAGTGAGAGCACAATGCCATGATTCTGCAGAACAGTGCTTGTATAGTGTGAGGTTTCCATGAAAGTGACTTCAAGTGTTACCTCTCTTATAAAGTATGCTTATGTCCTGTTTGGAAAAAGGAATATACCAACTTGGGTGGGTTTTTTTCTTATTATTTTAAACTCACCTCTTCTTATTGTCTACAAAGTAATAACCAGTTGAGTTTCCGTGCATACTGGAAATCAAATGTCCTTATTTTAGAGCTTTTTCTGTGTAATTGAAATTACAGTGCATTGTTATTGTGTAACTAACATTTAATTCTCACATGAAATGTAAGGGTATGCATACAAATCAAAGCTGGAGAAAACTAAAGTGGTTGATTAGAAAATCGGGTGATTATTTTACTAGGTGTTCTGATTATTTTTTAATTATAACTATAAATCAAACTTTCCTAAAATTTTTCAGCTAAACTTTGTGGAATGTTGACCATCACTTCAATATTCAGTACTAGTAACATGATGGTGATTTACTTTAAAAGTGATGGTAAAAATCATTTGCAAGGCTTCAAGGCTAGATTTACCATTTTGCCCTCAGGTGAGTATAAACACTTGTGGACTTTTGCTTATGAAAATGGTTACAGGGAACATTATTTAGCCGTGTTTACCTAAATGTAGGACAGCCGTGTTTACCTAAATGTACCTTCCCCTCAGTAAGCATAACAAAAATGCAGATTTCTGGATCCACCCCCAGAGACCTAGATTCTGTAGATCTGGGATGGGGCCCAGGAATCTGTGCTTTAGGAAGCACCTCAGGTAATGCTCAATAAATGGCATCCATTGGAACATAAAGATTCCACATGCCACACACAGAAAGAAGATAATTAGGATTAAAGAAGGTAATTCAGAAATGAGATTGACTGGCTCTGTTTTACCAAGTTAGGGGGTTTTGAAGAATTAATAGGTATCCTGGCATTCTGGAAGATAAAGTACATGCTACTCAGACTCAGACAAAAAGAATATCATATGCAAAAACTCTAACAAAAGACAATGGACAATGTATAAGAAAACTACAAATAACTCAACATGTTTTGAGTTTTGGAGGGAACAATAGGAAAGGCAGGAGTGAGATCATGTTGAACATGAGGCATTAAATTATAAGTGCCAGAGTGATAGGATAGCTAGCTAACATTTGATTATTTGCTCTGTAGCAGGTATTCACTGAGCATTTCACATGCATTACCTCATTTATTCCTCCTTACATACATAGGAGCTATGTGCCTTGCTCTCTTCTCACCAGTGAGGGAACTGAGGCTTTGAGAAGTTAAGTAACATTCCCAAAGATGCACAGCTGGCAAGAGATGGAGTCAGAACTTGGTCTCTCTGACTCCAGAGTAATCTGGAAGATTATAAATGAACTTATATGCAAGAAAAGTACTAAGAAAATCATTGTAATGAATTTATTCTATATATATTGTTTTATTATATATACCCTTGTGGGGATGGAATATATGAAGGAAGCCAAGTCCAGTATTATATTAGTCAGGGTTCTCTTAGAGGGAGCATATATATATATGTGTGTGTGTGTTTTTATTAAATATTAACTTACATGATCACATGTAAGTTACATGATCGTGTGTGTGTGTGTGTTAAGTATTAAGTTACATGATCACAGGGTCCCACAGTAGGCTATCTGCAAGCTGAGGAGTAAGGAGAGCCAGTCCGAGTCCCAAAACTGAAGAACTTGGAGTCCAATGTTCTAGGGCTGAAAGCATCCAGCACGAAAGAAAGATGTAGGCTGGGAAGCTAGGCCTATCTCTCTTTACATGTTTTTCTGCCTGCTTTATATTAGCTGGAAGCTGATTAGATTGTGCCCACCAGATTAAAGGTGGATCTGCCTTCCCCAGCCCACTAACTCAAATGTTAAATTGTTTTGGCAACACCCACACAGACACACCCAGGATTAATACTTTGTATCCCTCAATCCAATCAAGTTGATACTCAGTATTAACCGTCACAAATATGATTTTCAGGATCCTAGCTTGAATGGTGAGGTGAATGGTAGAAGCCACTAGATGATAGAGAAATGTAAGAACAAGACTATATTGACTCTTAAAATCACTTGGTTCAATTTAAGACATGTAGATATTAGCTTGTGGGAAATCCAAGTGGGGATATCTAAAAGTCTTAGGTTAGGATTCAGGAAAGAGATTTAGATTGAAGAGAGAAATTTGGAAGTCATCTACATGTAGATGAATAAAAACAGAGTAATGAAAATTACCTTGGCAATATATTTTCAGGCTAAAAAATGAGATCCTGAAAAAAAGACATATTGGAAACAGACAGCCATCAATATATAATGAAAACCTTGAGATTAACATCAAGAAACCAAGGAAGGAAGAAGTACTTAAAAGAGCCAGATGCAACAGGGATATTAAGAGATACACAAGAAATCACATTTCTGGGATCTGGCATCTAGTGTATGACTGGTTGTGTTAGTGAGATCTACAGTAGAGTAGTTTTATGATTTACCAAGGTAAGCAAGTGTGGTCAGTTAGTGCAACTTCTCTAATTACTTTCAATTAAAATTTTGTTTTCTTCTATAGAGTCTTTAAACAAAATTGAACCAACGTTACCTCCCCAAAACAATTCTGTATCTACTATAAAAGCTATTCTGCATGGTGAGTTGACGACACGTTATTATTGTTTAATCTTTTTCTTCATTAACTAGATGTCTCTTTTGAAAGTCCTTATCTTATATTTGCTATAACTCCACAGTGAAGAAGAATGAGTCTTGTATTTAGGTTCATAAAACGTCCAGAGTCCTATTTGGATTTATAGTTAGACTTATAAGTAGAGGGAAGAACAAATAAGCTTTAGGTTAGGAAGAAAAGGGTATAAAGCAATGTTTTGTCCTCGTCTATTCCTCTACAAACTTAATATCTAAAATGACTCCTATAGTCAGTGTGGGGCAAAGGGAGAAAACAAAGGTTTTTTTATTTTAAATTCACACTGGCATCTTTTAATTTTCTTATGCTCTAAGGCATCTGGGTAAATACTATGATCCTTCATTATTCCACACGCATGTATTGAATATGTTTAAGTTGACGGACTGGAATAGAAAGTTGCATAAGGAGCTATCAGAGAAGAAAATATCTGCCTCTTGCTGGAGGGTTGGAGAAGGCTTCCTGGAGGTTAGCACTTGGGCTATGGGTCTCACCAACTCCTGATAAGAGAACAGCATTTAGATGCCTGGGCAAATTTGATATGTTTGAGGATTAGTACATGGATTCATACTGTGAGAATGAGAACTAAAACAAGAAGATATAATGAAGAACCTTATGTACTCTCCTAACAAACTTGAAACTTTCCTACTAGAATGTAAGTTCCATGAGGGCCAGTATTTGTATCATCTGTTCTATTCCACCAATAATATATCACCAATGTCTAGAACAGTGCCTAGCAAACGGCAAGCACTAAATAAATTTTGCTAAATGAATAAATAAAATTCTGGGGGCCAGTCCCTAAAATTCTGGCTGCCTAGCATAGTCACCTGGGCAGGCTTCTTAAAATCAGACTTTTCATACAAAAAACTAGCCGGACGAGGTGGTGGGCGCCTGTAGTCTCAGCTACTCGGGAGGCTGAGGCAGGAGAATGGGGTAAACCCGGGAGGCGGAGCTTGCAGTGTGCTGAGATCCGACCACTGTACTCCAGCCTGGGTGACACAGCAAGACTCCGTCTCAAAAAAAAAAAAAAAAAAAAAATTCAGATTTTTCAGAGGTGAGTTTCGGGAGTCAATATTATTATTAAGCCTATCTGATGTTTGAGACTCACTACTGTTAACTATGGCAAGCTATTGGAGAAATGTGTTCTAAATTACTGCAACCTTATGGGTCACTGATTTCATCTTCTTTACTGTAGATGTCTGTGGCATCCCTCCATTTAGTCCCCAGTGGCTTTCCAGAAGAATCGCAGGAGGGGAAGAAGCCTGCCCCCACTGTTGGCCATGGCAGGTGGGTCTGAGGTTTCTAGGCGATTACCAATGTGGAGGTGCCATCATCAACCCAATGTGGATTCTGACCGCAGCCCACTGTGTGCAATCGTGAGTAAAACTGGTATTTTACCAATGTATTTAGCACATGCATTTATAAGTAATGCCTAGGACACAAGGCTGACTACTAAGATCATCCAAACTAATTCTAAAACGAAAATCTTCTTTTAGTGTTTCTTCTGCATAGCCATCTAGCTTATATTTAAACAATGTCAGTGAAGGAAAAGTTGATCAAATCTTGACTGCTCATCCCATTTAAAGAGATCTCTTATTATGTAGAGCAGAAGTCTGCTTCCCGATTGCAGAAATCCATTGGTCTAAATGTACTATAGTTCCAAAACTAAGTTGGGTTCTTCTTTCACGTGATAGTTCTTACTATATTTGAAGACTCCTCTCACATTCCCATTTAGCTTAATCATTAAGCTAAGTGCTCATGGTTCCACTGTTGGTTGTTAGTAATTCCAGATGCCTTACCACACAAGCCACCTTCCACTGGATTGGTTTAGGATTGTTCCTTTGCAAATATGGATCATGTCAGTGGACAGCACAATAGAATAACCTACCACCTTGATTATTGCACTATTGGGGAACTAAAATTTTGGTTAATTTTTAAGTGTTCTTAAATTGTGAAGTCTTCCATTGTATGAAATAATATACATAATATATTTGTAGTTTAAAGAATAGATACTAATGTTAAATGAACATTTGTATTGCCAGCATCCAGTTTAGGAAGAATCTTTATACTTACCTTTCAAGACCCCTTAGAATCCCTCTCAAGAAATACTATGCTAAATTTACAAGGAAAAAAACTAACAACCCTATCAAAAAGTGGGCAAAGGATATGAACAGACAATTCTTAAAAGACATTTATGTGGCCAAAAAATATATGAAAAAAAGCTCAATATCACAGGTCATTAGAGAAATGCAAATCAAAACCACAATGAGATACCATCTCACACTCATCAGAATAACAATTATTAAAAAGTCAGGAAACAACAGATGCTGGAGAGAATGTGAAGAAATAGGAATGCTTTTACACTGTTGGTGGGAGTGTAAATTAGTTCAACCATTGTGGAAGACAGTGTGGCGATTCCTCAAGGATCTAGAACCAGAAATACCATTTGACCTAGCAATCCCATTACTGGGTATATACACAGAAGATTATAAATCATTCTACTATAAAGACACATACATATGTTTATTGCAGCACTATTCACAATAGCAAAGACTTGGAACCAACCAAAATTCCCATCAATGATGCACTGGTTAAAGAAAATGTGGCACATACATACCATGGAATACTATGCAGCCAAGAAAAAGAATGAGATCATCTCCTTTGCAGGGACATGGATAAAGCTGGAAGCCATCATTCTTAGCAAACTAACGCAGGAACAGAAAACCAAACAATGCTTGTTCTCACTCAAAAGTGGGAGTTGAACAATGAGAACACATGGACACAGGGACGGGAAAAATACAGGGGGTGGGAGACAAGGGGAAGGAGAGCATTAGGACAAATACCTAATGCATGCGGGGCTTAAAACCTAGAAGATGGGTTGATAAGTGCAGCAAACCACCGTGGCACATGTATACCTATATAACAAACCTGCAGATTCTGCACATATATCCCAGAACTTAAAATTTTAAAAAAATCAAAAGAGAAAAAAAATGCTATGCTAAATTTCTTAAATGCTGTATTCATATCTTTGCTTTTGGGGGATTTCAATATATATGTACCCCTAAAACAGTATGTCATTTGGTTTTTCTTGGTTTTGATCTTTAGGTAACAGAACTGCAGTTTATATTCTTGTGTCTTACTTTGTCTCCATAATACCTTGTATAGATTAAGCCATGTGACTGTGTATAACTGTAATTTGTTTTCGATCCAGACTAGTTAAAGCCATCCCTTGTTCTGGGCATTGGTATTTTTGAAAAGCTTCCCAAATGACTCTACTGTGCAGAGGGTCAAGAACCACTCCCTGCCCCCCTGACCCCATATTTTTTTTGAGAACAGATCTCTCTCTCTCACAGACTAGAGTGTAGTAGCATGATCATAGCTCCCTCTAGTCTTACCTCTTGGGTTCAAGGGATCCTCCCACCTCAGCCTTCTGAGCAGCTGGGACTACAGACACATGCCACCATGCCCGATTTTTGTTTGTTTGTTTGTTTTTATTGCTGTTGTTGTTGTTTTGGGCTTTTTTGTAGACATGGGGTCTTGCTATGTTGCACAGACTGGTCTTGAACTCTTGGGATCAAGTAATCCTCCCACTTTGGCCTCCCAAAGTGCTGGGATTACAGGCATTACCCACTATGTCCCGCTTCCCTGCCCCTTCTTGATCAGTTCCCTGCTTGCTCCCAGTAGGCCAGCCTCATGGGCCTTTCTGTTGCTCAGATATGCTGAGCTTGTTCCTGTCTCAAGGTCATTGTAGTTGCTACTTCAGGACAGCTCATTATGTTTAGTTGTCAAGTCTCCTCAGGCTGTTCTTGGCTGTAAACTTCTAAGACTTTCCTTGGTCATTTTGAGGAAATCTCATCTGTTTTTTTTTTTTTTGTAGAACGTCCCTCTGTTTAGTTTGTCTGACATTTTTGTCAAGGTGTTACTAGGGTTATGGATTTGGGGGAGGAAGACCACAGAAGTAGCATACTATTCTTATCATATATCAAGGGTACATACAGTCAACATGACTTATCACTGATGTTAACCTTGACCATCTGGCTGAGGTAGTGTTTACCAGGTTTCTCTAATGTAAAGTTACATTTTTCCCCCTTTCCATACTTACTCTTGGGAAACAAGTCAGTAAAGGTAGCCCACGTTCAAATTATTCCAGCTTTGGCCATTGTGAGCTCTTTCAGAGGTAGAGACCAGCCTTTGGCTTCTGTCTCTTTGATACTCCCTCATATTTTGTAACACTGCAAGATACTCCAGGTCTGTCGTGTGTATTTCCTTCTCAGTTCCTGCACCAGCCATTTCTCCAAGGGGCCCTGGTTCATTTTATTGGAAAATGGTATGACAAATCATGATCTGATGCTGGGCATACCAGTTGCTAGTAGCACATTGTTGGTTCTAGGCCCTCTCAGCTGATAGAGCTAGAAAATATAGGTATGTATACTAACCCATGTTATAAATATATATATCTGTATGTATTATCAAGCTAAACATTGGTTCATACAATATTTTCAACTCTAATTCAGTACCACCTGCTTTTGTCTAGGCCTTCTCTCCCTTACAAAAACCTATTTATTTTTTAAGACTTCTATCAAAGTGCATTGAATGTACCATGGAAAAGATGCTTCAAGAGTAGCTGATTAATTTGTTAATGTATTAGAAAATAAAATATTAGTATTGAGTACAGAGACACAGAAAAAGTTTTGGTAGATTCCCTTTTCAAATTACATGGTCTATTCTGAAATTTATGTGACGAGCCATGACGCCTTGCAGCAAGATAGAGAATGTAACAAACCTATTCTTCCCAAGATAGATATTCCATGTGATGAATCAATTGAAATTAATCAACAGCTGTAAATGTTTGTGAGCCACTTGTTAGCCACAAAAGAATTTGTATTTAATTTCATTTGTGACTTCTTAATTTCTTTAAAAATATGTATTATAATAGTAATGTTTTTGGGGAAAAAGGCAGTTAGAGAAGATTATCAAGTAAGAGCTTAAACTACCCTCTCCATTTATCTAACATACTCTTTTTCTCTAGGTGTCATCAATGTTAAGAATGTTTCAATTGTCTGATTTTCTACTAATATTTAAACATACATGTATATATTTTATAGTATTTGTATATATCACATTTTTTGCACATAACATTATATCTTACATTTATAGTGGTATGGTAAATGTCTGTGTGCCATATTTTTTAATAGTTCACAGTTGCCTAAATTATTTGACCAGTGAAATGTCTTTTTAAATCTAATCCTTGAAGTCTGTGGATCTTTACACCAGGAGTGTACTAATATGCTGGTGTATCAAAAACCCTATGTCCTACATGTGCCCTGCCTTTTAGCTTCCCTGGCACTGGTTGACCCTAGTATTAATTCTCAAACTTCAACATCTCCAGAATCACCTGGAGAGCTTCTGATTCTTTAAGTCTGGTGCGAGGCCTGAGCATTTCCTGATGGTGGTGTTCCACACTTAGGAAAATTTGGTGTTCTCATCTTGTTAATTCCACACAGGATTTTGTGCTCACTGGGACTTTTAACTTACTTTTGGAGACCAAGCTCACTTTGCAATTATATATGTGAATCTTTTGTCTAAAATTTAAATCAGCTACTGAAACTTCAGTGACTTACTTTCTGTGAGCAAGTCAGGTGGCTCTCTCTTCTTCCATAGCAATTAAGTGACACATGCTCCATTGTTGGGTTGGGGATAAGATCCTAAGACTATAAGAAATGAAATTTTATATGGGAGATGGGGAAGAAAAGGTGAAGAAATCCATCAAATGATACCTTCAGCTATTTTCCCACTATTGGAAAAATCTCAAGCTTTGTGGTATCATAAAGTGTATGTGGCTTTGGCGTGTTTTTTTTTTTTTTTTTACAGTGTTCTCCATTAAACTGAAGGGTATTTGATGACTGTACAGGTAAAACATCACAAGAAACTGTGGTCTACATTATCAACTCTATCATCATTTTTATTACTTCATTGTATTGTATACACTCTATTCTATATAAAGATGTGGAGTAGATTTAAGAAGTTTCTTCACTACTAAGTACTTATTTAGAGGGTGACTTTGAAAAAGTTTAATCCTTTCATTAGCATGCATGGCAGATAATAAGAATGATAATGACTACCATTATGGAGTCATTACCATCTACCAGGTACTTGCCAAGTACTTCACTTGAGTTAGCTCCCTTAATAAAGGCATATTGAAACACATGAGCAAGTCAAACCCATTATGCAAGGAATTGAAATGAGCATGGTTATGACTGGGGAGAAGATGCCTACATGCATTAAGAATCTCTACCTTTGAATAAGGTATATTGAAAATAATTTCAGTAACTTTACTTTTCCTGAAGAAACAGTGTTAAAAAAAAATGGAAGAATTAGTCTCCAAGTAGAAGTGACAGTATATTGGTTCCAGTAGAGGGACTCTTTCCTCAGACACTTTTTAAGCCGGAGATTTTGATATGGTAAGTTAATGGATATTGATTCAAACTTCTTAACATCATTTTGAGGTATATCAGAAGTATGCAGAAATTTTCACACAATGAACACCCATGTAACCGACACGCAGATCGAGAAACAAAATACTACATTAACTAGTACCCAGCAGTCGCCCTTGTGCCTCTGCCAGTCATCATTCCCCTAAAAGTAATCAGCATTCTGATTTCTAACGCAATAGTTGAATTTTGCCAATTTTCAAACTGATAAATTCCTTTGACCTTTAGTTTCGTAACTCTGATTTAACAAAAGGTGGAAATCTGAGATACGATCCAGTGAGATCATAATTTGGCAATATTGAACAGTAAAATATAGACCAAAAGCTACCTTGTCACAGGTGTAATTTTTTAAACATATTCTTAACATCACTGTGAAATAAAGCTTTAATTATTTTCATTTTTCCTCCTCAACCTAAAAAATTGGTAATATTTGGCAAGGTTTCCAATGACACCTTATGGTCAAAAGAAAGGGGCAGGATACATGATCAAGAGCTCTTCTTCACATAGATCAGAAGGCACGATATGGCTTCCCCAGGAGGGAGATCGCAGAGGTAATCAGACAGGGGACTGTTGCCTCGCTGAACTGAGCAGTGCATGTTAGTAGGGCCAGATGATGGCAGGGCGGTTTCCCTCATGCTGTTCTCCTGATGGTGAGTTCTCACAAGATCTGATGGTTTAAAAGTGTGTGGCTTCCTTTGCTCTCTCTCTCCTGCTTTGCCGTGATAAGATGAGCTTGCCTCCCCTTTGCCCTCCGCCATGATTGTTAAGTTTCCTGAGGCCTCCCCAGCCATGCAGAACTGTAAGTCAATTAAACCTCTTTTCTTCATAAACCTCTTTTCTTCAGAAAGTCTTCAAAAGACTATAGTCTCAGGTAGTCTTTTATAGCAGTGTGAGAACGAACTGTTACAAACTTGTTTTCATGTCAAACTTTCACTGTTCTTCTGTCTCCAGGAAGAATAATCCACTCTCCTGGACCATTATTGCTGGGGACCATGACAGAAACCTGAAGGAATCAACAGAGCAGGTGAAAAAATGTTTTTACAGGTCATTCTGCCTGTACTGTAAATGTTGTCACATGTCAAGGAATACCTTTAGCTAAAATATGTAATTGGTTATTAATCTCCTAGGGCCCTTTTACACTTATCATTTATACCCACATTTAAAAATGTAATTTGAAATTACATTTTCACTTGAGAATTACACAAAGTAGGTCGGAATTGCAAATTTAGGCCCAAGGACACAGGTTTTCAAAGCTTTGTTTCTCCAGCACCACCTTTATCCAGAAGGTGGTTCACAGCCTCCTGCAAATTATAAACCAAGATGGCTCTTTTATATTTAATACAAAGTCTTCTTCATTGCTTAGGTATGTAAGTGCAGAGATTTAGGATTATTTTAGACCATCAACAAGGAAGTAGCTGGATTCTTTGACTTTCTTACCTTATAATTTGCTTACTTGCCACTGATACAGGTGAGAAGGGCCAAACACATAATGGCGCATGAGGACTTTAACACACTTAGTTATGACTCTGACATTGCCCTAATACAACTAAGCTCTCCTCTGGAGTACAGCTCGGCAGTGAGGCCGGTATGTCTCCCACACAGCACAGAGCCTCCGTTTTCCTCAGAGATCTGTGCTGTGACCGGATGGGGAAGCATCAGTGGAGGTAAGCATTTTTTGTTTCTTAAACATTAATGCCAGTTGTTATTTTTGAAAATAGGTCGTGTAAATGATATCAAGCAGCATCCGCTTCAGCCCCTCTTCTTTCTAAAAGAGAGACACCATGTTTTATTTAGCTGTAATAGATCAGCAAGTAAATAGAGAATTAGCTATTTAAAACTTTTCCTTCAGGGTAACTTAGATTATAAATAGGCTAGATTAGCAGTCAACAAATCTTTACTGTAATGGGCCAGATAATAATCCTTTTAGGCTTTGCAGGTCATCTGGTCTCTATCACAACTATTCAAGTCTACCGTTATAGCATAAAGCAGCCATTGGCAGTATGTAACAGAATGGGTTCCAACAGAACTTAATTTATAAAATTTATATTTCATTTAATGTATATGTGTCATGAAATACTGTTCTTTGGATTTTTTTTAACCACCTAAAAATGTACAAACCATTCTTATCTCATGGATTGTGCCCATGTTTGGGGGTGGCACAGAATTCATCCACTGGCTGTCATGTGCTCACCCCTGGCTACGGTATAGAACTCTTAAAGGCTTAGTAACACAGTGAAAGATTGGAATGGGTTGATATTTGTTTTGTGCTTCTTATACCATAAGATCATTTTCTTTGTATATTTCCTTTCTGTATGTCATTTATTTGGAATCTGTGAGCTTGAAGGAGAAGGGAATTTATATTTGACTGCTTACAGTGTTGATATTCACTGCTTACTGTGCTACCTGAAGCCAAATTGCACTTTCATAAAAACCTTCACACCCAACACATGAGGAGCTTTTACCATCCCCATTTTACAAATAAGGAGGTTGCAACCTGAAGATTTAAGTAACTTGCTAAGATCCCATAACTAATAAATATCAAAGTGAGGATTTAAGATCGGTGTGGCTCAGCTTATAATCATTCCTTAATGGCTTCTCATTACACATACAATCAAATCTGAACTCCTTAGCCTAGCTTGGAAAGCTCTGTGTGATTGGGCCTCTCCACTTATCTCTTCCACATAATTTCCTTCTTTTTTTCTTGTGGTTAACCTTCAGCTACCGTGGCCTTTCTCCTTTCGCTTAAACACCAAGCTTGCTCTGCTTTCTGAAGTTCCTCATTTTGTGTCCTTCTACTTGGAGCACTCTTATTACAATCTTGTCACATCTGCCTGCTCATTATTGCGTTTTCAACCAAAATATCACTTCCTTTCTTGGCCCACATTGCTGCCACAGGACAGGCTTCCGGTCACATTCCGCACTACCTGGTTTTATCCTCTCACTGCACGTTAATGTATTTGGCATGATTTCATGCAGTCATCTTCTACATCTCACCCACTAGACTGAGAACCTCTTGGAGGCAGATCTGTCATTGAGCACTCTCTCCCCAAGGCTAGAAGCCTACATAACATTCAGTAAATATTCCTTGGCTTACCAGTTTCAAAGCCCTTTAATAAATGTGCCTGCTCTCTAATACCTTTGACCTTTGCCAATTCCATGACTACCAGGCAACTGAGAGGTAGTTAGTTTTATAAAAGGTGAATTCATTCTTTCCAACTAGGAGAGGAAATGAATCTTGATTCCTGGGATATGGTCAGTAACACTAAGGGAGATGGTCCCCGAGAAGAGGAGTTTTAGTATATTAAGAAGAATGCAAGATTCAGAGTTGAACTTAGGCTTGATTCCAGTTCTGTCCCGTAAGAGCTGTGAGATCAAATTTTCAGAGGTCTGGCTTTTTCATATGTGAAATCTGTGATTAACCTGATCTCACATATGAAAAATGTTGTTGTATTAAGTTGGAATAAAACTCTTTATAAATATTAAGATACTATATAAATGTAACGTATATGCTATTAATATTGCCCCAAAAGGTATAGGGCTATAAAATATTAAACTTAAAAAAATTGATCATAAATCTAAAATGATAGGATGAGTCATGCAAAATACATGTTAACATAGGCCTGCCTAAGGATCAAATATGGAAATAAATTATTTGTGTTTTCGTTAATTGGAGGTGCGATTAGGCTTCAATGACAGTAGATGAAAAACAGGATTATGATTTTTGTTTATATTTGGAAATCATATAAGCATATTATTTGTAAGCAATTATATATTTATATATAAATATATAACCATATATATTTATATATATAAATATATAACCATATATATTTATATATATAAATATATAACCATATATATTTATATATATAAATATATAACCATATATATTTATCATTGTATAAGTCATATATGACACCAATTCATATCATGCTGAATTTTTCTTCCTGAATTCTTATGCAGAAATATTTGATACGCTAATGTTTAAATTGAAAATAAGCTAGGAAAAAAGTGTTTCTGGTTTTATTCTCCTGCCAGTGGCCTCTCTTTACAAAAATGCCAAATTGGGACATGAAGACATGTCACATGAAACACTTGTATTTTTTAACTTCAATATTCTACATCAGCTCAGGCCAAACTGAATGACTTCAGCTATGTTGGTACAGAGCTAAGTCGGAACTTAAATACATTTCTAATATCACTTGCTGCTTACTTCATCATTGAGCTCTCTCTGAATGTTTCTTCAATAGATGGTGGCTTAGCAAGTCGCCTACAGCAGATTCAAGTGCATGTGTTAGAAAGAGAGGTCTGTGAACACACTTACTATTCGGCCCATCCAGGAGGGATCACAGAGAAGATGATCTGTGCTGGCTTTGCAGCATCTGGAGAGAAAGATTTCTGTCAGGTGAGAGGATTCTGGTTTTATACAGAGGTGGAAAATTGCCATCTGCTGGAGAGTTTCTATAGACAGGAGAAACCACAGCTGAAGCCACCAACTTGTCATGTGCTTCGGTATCACATCCCTGCATGAAGACCAGTGGGGCAACAGAAGTAATAAGTTAATTAATCTGAATTTGCTGAGATATCACAGAGTGACTGGAAGCAGCTGTACAGCGAGAAAGGCCAGTGGGTTCATAGAGGAGCTGGTGAGAAGGTAGGAAATAGCAGAGCCTCTCAGCAGACCTGAGCAAGGGAAGATGTATTCAGGTATACTTAAAGCTTTCAGAAAAGGAAAAGCAAAGGTTCTAAACTTATGTGTCCTATATATGACTTAAAAGTTTTATTGGTTTATATTATCATTAATCTCCGTACTCTCACTTAATTTTTCCACCACAAATTAAAACAATCACAAAGATGTCTACTGTACAAGCTTGATATTGGCAAGTTCATAATTAACTAAGAAAAAGACAGAATGTGAATGAATAGATTGTAGAATGCCAGCTTTCACATTCACAAAGTCAATGGAAGAATGTGACTTTAGATATACATACAACCGAAGAGTTTCTAACACTCCATGTGCCCACCTCCAATCCCTGGTTTGGATTTGAGGCTACCCACGTAAGGGAAAGTTTGGGTCCATAGAGCAGCCCCAATTCTCCAGACTTATCACTCCTACTGGTCTGGCATAGAGAGGAAAGAAAGAATGAATCTTGTTTCTGCAGCTCTTTGAGAGTTTTCCCCAGCACTCAGTGAAGAAACATGCAGCAGTAGATTTCACCTCCATGAGGGAGAAACAACTGGGCATTAATCTAGGTGGACGTCCTTCCGTGTAAAAATGTGAGAGAGGGAATGAAGTCCCCTTTAACACTGAATATAAATTTATTGTCATTAACCCCTTCCTTTTATAGCATCAAGCGGTGGTTCTTTTCTGTTTTAATTTTGCATATATTTATTTGCATTTCCCAGAAGCAGACCCTGAGATAAGGATTCAGGTGCAACGGTCTGTTTTAGGACTCATAGATATCACTGGTAGGAAAGGGAGGTGATGGTACAGGGAAGGGAAGGCAGCCAATCTAGGATGCATTATTAAGCCGTCTGCCATAGTGAGGGCCTAAAGCTTAATCCTGCAGGAAACTCAGGGCAGTGATGCTAAATACACGTGATGGATTTATCCATCTGAGGGGCGAGGGAGCTGGGATATTTGTGTACTACCTTCCCTGGAGCCACAGTTTGAGTGTTGCTGTGGGAAAGGGCTGTTAATCCCTCAGCACTTCCCATACTTTAGGGTTGCCTCCTGGGTGGAGTGGAGAGTGGGGAAGACCCCAGACACAGATCCAGGACATGAGCTGGAAGATGTGAGGAAGACGGAAAGTGCACTCCTGCTGTCTGCTAGACTACATAAATGTTATCTGATAAAAATCACAAAAGTACTCTGAATTAATGTGTTCATTCTTCCCCTCAGTCTATTGCAGGATTTCAGGGATGGCTTTTCTTTCTTCAACAAGAAGATCACAAGTAATTATGTTGTCTTTTACATATTTGACAGCATCTAACATTACAGGGTGAGCTTATTTTGTGTGGAAAGAAAAGAACTAGAGAGGGTCTTAGAAAGGTCCATGTCACATGTGACCTAAGTATCATGATCTCAGTTGGCACTTATGTTTTCAGTTATATACAACTGTCACTTTGGCTGCAGCATGACCAAATGTACTGCCCATATATGGGAGGAAAACTAGAAGTTGAGGTTCTGATAAATATGGCTAGCTTTCTATTACAAAGAACACTGAGTTACTAAAAGGGTGACTTTAGAAACTTGCTTTGACAAAATAGTCTCTAATACTTCTATCAGGTAATTGATTTTTATTCTCCTGTGTATAATTAGAGGTAATAGACCTGCTAATGTGCTTTCTCATCCAGGAAGGTGGGAATAACAATATTGGAATGCAGAGACATGGGGTTTTCAGGTATGCAATGTAGTATCCTGTTGTTCTTTGCTAACTGGATTTCAGATTTTTTTATTCTAACTTCTTTTTCAATTTTTAATTTTGTGGTTATATAGTAGGTGTATGTACTTATGGGGGACATGAGATTTTGATACAGGCATACAAGGAATAATCACATCAGGGTAAATGAGGTATCCATCACTTCAAGCATTTATAATTTGTGTTACAAACAATCCAAACACATTGTTTTAGTGATTTTTAAATGCACAATTAAATTATTATTGACTGTAGTCACCCTGTTGTGCTATCAAATACTCTTTTTTTCATTCTATATTTTGTACCCATTAATTATTCCCACTTCCCCTAGACTCAGTCACTACACTTCCCAGCCTCTGGTAACCATCCTTCTATACACTATCCCCATGAGTTACATTGTTTTGATTTTTAGCTCCTACAAATAAATGAGAACAGGCGAAGTTTGTCTTTCTGTGCCTGGCTTATTTAACTTCACATAATGACCTCCAGCTCCATTCACGTTGTTGCAAATGGTAGGATCTCATTCTTTTGTATGGCTGAGTCGTACTCCATTGTGAACATGCACCACATTTTCTTTATCCATTCATCTGTTGATGGACACTTAGGCTGCTTCCAAATCTTGGCCATTGTGAATAGTGTTGCAGTAGACATGGGAGTGCAGACAACTTTTCAATATCTTGATTTCCTTTCTTTTGGCTATATACCTGGGAGTGGGATTGCTAGATCAATGGTATTTCTATTATTTTTTGAGGAATGTCCATACTATTCTGTATAGTGGTTGTACTAATTGATGTTCTCATCAATAATGTACATGGGTTCCCTTTTTCTCCACATCCCTGTAAGCATTTGTTATTGCCTGTCTTTTGGATAAAAGCCACTTTAACTAGGGTGAGATGATATCTCATTGTAGTTTTGATTTGCATTTCTCTGATCAGTGATGTTGAGCACCTTTTCATATACCTGTTTGCCATTTGTATGTCTTCTTTTGAGAAATGTCTATTCAGATCTTTTGTCCATTTTTAAAATCAGATTATTAGATTTTTTCTATAGAGTTATTTGAGCTCCTTAAATATTCTGGTTGTTAATCTCTCGTCAGATGGGTACTTTGCAGAAATTTTCTCCCATTCTGTGAGTTGTGTCTTGGCTTTGTTTTCTTTGCAGTGCAGAAGATTTTTAACATGATGTGATCTTATTTGTCCATTTTTGCTTTGGTTACTTGTGCTTGTGGGGTATTACTAAAGAAATCTTTGTTCAGTCCAGTGTCCTGGAAAGTTTCCTCAGTGTTTTTTAAATTAATTTCATAGTTTTAGGTCTTAGATTTGAGTCTTTAATCCATTTTGATTTGACTTTTGCAAATGGTGAGAAATAAGGATCTACTTTCATTCTTCTGTATAAGGACATCCAATTTTCCCAGCACAATTTATCAAAGCGACTGTCCTTTCCCCAATGTATTTTTTTTTTTTGTACCTTTGTCAAAAATGACTTCAATGTAGATGTATGGATTTTTTCTAGGTTTTCTATTCTGTTCCATTGTTCTATGAGTCTGTTTTTATGACAGTACTGTGCTGTTTTAGTTACTATAGCTTTGTAGTATAATTTGAAGTCAGGTAATGTGATCCTTCCAATTCTGTTCTTTTTGCTCAGGATGGCTTGGCTGTTCTGAGTCTTTTGTGGTTCCACATACATTTTATGATTATTTTTTCTATTTCTGTGAAGAATGTCATTGGTATTTTTTCTAACTTATTTTCCTCTACAAAGTACAGATCTCTCTTCACAGAATAATGTATGTCCTCAGCCACATTGATTGCCTTCTAACCTTCCAACTGGCCATGTCTTGCCTTAAAGCCTTAGCCCAGATGTGTCTTTTGCATAAAATGTTGTTCCTCCAGGTTTTTGGAAAGCTGGCTCCTTCTCATCCTTTATGTATCAGCTCAAATGTTATTGAAACTGCATACACATACAAGTACATGTAAGCACACATACACCTACCTTTATCCTCTACCATTCACTCTGAGTATTTCTTTTGTAGCTACTGTTAGCATCTTATTTGTTTGTACTCTGTTTTACTCAGTATGTCTGACTCACAGTAGGCATTGAATAATTTTTTAATAAAAAAAATTCATTTGTGGTTAGGCACGGTGGCTCACGCCTGTAACCTCAGCACTCTGGGAGGGCGAGGCAGGTGGATCACGAGGTCAGGAGATCGAGACCATCCTGGCCAACATGGTGAAACCCTGTCTCTACTAAAAATACAAAAAATTAGCCGGGCTTGAGGGTGCGTGCCTGTAGTCCCAGCTATTTGGGAGGTTGAGTCAGGAAAATCGCTTGAACCCAGGAGGCGGAGCTTGCAGTGAGCCGAGACTGCACTACTGCACTCCAGTCTGGGCAACAGAGCAAAACTCCGTCTCACAAAAAAAAAAAAAAAATTTCATTTGTTTGCTGAATATTTACTATGGACTAGACCATATGATAGGCACTGGCAAAAATAGATAAATTGGACAGGTTCCCTGTATCGTGGAATGTTTGTGATTGCCTGAAAAATTATGTATTGGCTATGCGTTGGTACTGAAAAAAATCAATGATTTAAAATAAAACACTTGACTGGATACATCAGACCATTGTCCAACTGGAAAAGGGTCTTAAGTATAATTGTTACGTGAAAAAATTAGGCCCAGAGGAAAGGTTAATTGTTCTACATTACAGACGAGTGACTGTATCTCTTTTTTCCCAAGTTAAGGTTTCTTCTGTTAAATTCTTTATGTAAAATAGATATTTCAAATATGTACCATCAATTTATGTGCCATCAAATATGTACACAATTTATCTAACAAGAAGACAAATAAATGACTTGATTTGGTCCTAAATACATTTGTGTCCATCCACTTCCTGCAAAAGACTTGATTAAAAATTGGAAAGCCTACCCTAAAAAGATGAAAATCCTATGTATTAAGGCTTGCTTTGATACAACTAGTTTATAAAATTTCACTGTAAATTAATCAAATGTTTGTTTAGCGTGTATTATGTGCTGAGTATTGTAATAGGTTTCCTAGGATACAAAGTTGAATCAGATGCAGTGCTTACCCTCAAATGGGGCACATGTTGTAAATAGAAAGAGACATAAACAAGGGCATATATTGGGCATTGCCATTGATTTTCACATTGCACCTCAAGAGACATGTAGAAGTTGTTAGTGCTAATTAATAGATAAATGTGTGTGATGTACATATTTTGGTTCCCTTAATAACAATACCGCTGTTGATTTTCTTCAAAATCTCTTTCTGCTTATAATTTATCAATTTAAACAATGCAAATATTGGGAGGAATGTTAAAGAGAGACGCTTCCATCTACGTGAGCTTCTTAGTGCTTGTGGGTAGTATTTTTGCCTTTTGAAATGTGTTTAATCATGACCTAAGTAGCCTTATCTAATAGAGTGAACAAAATTAACTATAAGTTAAATTTCCATGTGTCTTTCCTTGAATTCAGTAATTCTGTAAGCCCGATACTAGAGCAGTTTAAGGTAGTTCCATTAATGAATATTTATCAATTTGGTGGAAGGGAAAGAGCACGGAACTTTGGCAGGTGACATGGGCTCAGATTTTACTGCTGCTACTACCTATATGTGTGAAATGGGACAGGTCACTTATTTCTCTATTGTAACTTTTCACATGTAATATCTAAGTAAGTTAAATTAGTTTGACCCTTTAAATCTTTGAAATTGTGTAATTTTGGTACCTGCAGGTAAGCCAAAATAAAATTGGAATACTAGAATTAGAATGAATACATTTTAATAGATTTAAGTCAGCCTTTCACTTTTCTTCATCTCACCACCAACACCCTAGATTCTCTGTGTATGTCGTAACTCTACTCTTTGATCTGAACAGATTGTGTCAAGAGTGACCAGTGATAGGGAAAACACTACATGTAGAGGTTACCACCCAATGACCCTAACCCAATTTCCTTTTTTAAAAAAAAAGAAGAAAACAAAACAGGCAGCACATTTCTTATGATGGATCCATTTGAGCCACTGTGCAGTTTTCTAATTAAATTTTTATTTTTAAAAGATGCTTGAAATCGTAAATATTACAGTTTTACTAATTGATATCATTTAAAGACTAGGTCCCTCCAGTGGAGCTGGGAAGACTTAGTGATTGTTTTCTGATTATGTGAACGAGGCTTTCTCTTCACCCTGGAATCAAATTGCCATCTGATTGTTCATAAATTTTGTTTCCTTTTGCAAAACAGTGAATATATAGTATGTAAAAATGGAAATTGACAAAGAACAAATCTTATTAAACACATTTCAAATACATTATTGGCCATTCTTGTTCTAAAATTGAAAGCAGGAGCTTCGGATTAAAGCAGTTTTCTAGAACATGTTTTCTTGGTGTTTCAGGGAGACTCTGGTGGGCCACTAGTATGTAGACATGAAAATGGTCCCTTTGTCCTCTATGGCATTGTCAGCTGGGGAGCTGGCTGTGTCCAGCCATGGAAGCCGGGTATATTTGCCAGAGTGATGGTCTTCTTGGACTGGATCCAATCAAAAATCAATGGTAAATTGTTTTCAGATGTTATTAAAACAATACCTCTTTCTTTAGAGTGGGTTTGGGAACAGTGAGTGTAGTATAAATTAGCGTGAAAGAGAAAACCATAGAGTAGAATTTCATTTAGTTACTAAACACACTAAAGCTCAAGATTCTGCAAAATAAGTTCTCCCATGTGTAGAGTTAGAGTAAAACTGACTTTTTCTGAGGCTGCTTTAATCCTGGATTTGTTTCTTTTTTGATAGTGGCTGCGTTGGTGCCGACTATATTTTGTCCTCAGGCTTTCATCTTTATTTTTAACATGTTCTCCCCAAATACAGGTCCTGCTTCACTTCAGACAAATGATACATGCAAAACCTTAAAACAACAATTGCTACCACCCACACCTTCGCCAGGCAGTGCATCTTGGACAGGTAATAAATGTTCACATTGTCCCATTGCATTGTCTGTCTAGCTTTGCTAAATTTTCTGTGGAACACTGTGACCTCTGTGTTTTCCTTCTGGTTGGTAGCTTTAGCTGAAAGTGGGGAGAGTTGTTATTATGATTGCTGGAGATCATTTCTACCCCAAAACTAGACCTGTTGCAGATTTTTTAAAAAAAATTTGTGGTTGCGAGCAAGTGCTTGAATATTGGAGAATTACATAGAATTATTTTAAGCTCTGAATCTGAACAAAAGTCCTTCTATATGCAAGTATCTTGCTAGGTAAAGACTCTGGGTATGAGACGACCAAGACCAGCATCAGCATTAGTATTTCTCTTCATTCTTCCACAGCTGTCACTGTCTGTTTGATAAAATAGGATTTTGATTTTTAGTCAAACCTAACAGCAACTGGAGGATTAGAAATCTCTAATAGACTTGTAGGAAGATAGAAATTCTATTTTATTATCACTCTTGGTTTCCAAGTGGTAGTCTTTCTTTTGTTGCCCACATCTTCCCCTTCCCCAATACATTCAACCCCGGTAAACAACTAGGAAGAGTTCAAAGAAAATGTAAGATATAGAAGGTAGAATTGCAAGAGTGAAGACTTTGAGTAGAAGAAAGAAGATGAGATCTAGTGTCCAAAAGGAGAGGATGGTCTTAGATAGGAGCAAAATACACATCATCTATAGTTAATGGATGGAAGGCAGGATCTTGAGGCATCAGTGCAGGTATGAGGTGTATGGGTATAGATGGAGATAGAAGCTTGCGGTATTTCTCTTCTGATTGCTTCTTTTTCTTGGCAGGCGAACAAAAAGAAGGGGTTGTTCAAGAAAGTTTGATTTTTTAAGAGAAAAAAGGATGAAATATCTCTCTAGAAAATAGCATAGTGAATAGAAAGACATAGTAGGACTGCTGGATAGCATAAAGCCCCCCTGAGATGAACGATCATAATTTGAGAGAGCAAAATGCCCCCATTTCGCTTAGTTGTATGTTTTCCTCTGGATGCACTGAGGTAGATGCAGAGTAGGTAGAGTATAGATTTAATCAAAGTAGAGTGTTCCCAAGTATGTGAAGGGTGTAAAGGAATTCAGAGTGTATGTGAATAAGTGGTTAAAATGATGGATCATTGGAATTTAGGATGGGTAAGGAGTGAAATACGGATGAGAGATTTGTTTGGGACAAAAATAAGGTGGTAGGACACGTAAATTATGAGTCCCAAAAGGTGGAAGGAGTATTAAGGGAGACTGAAAAGATGGAAGGTCATGGTTGGAGAAAATGGTTCCTGAAACTGAGATTACAGAAGGCTTGGAGTTACTGCTATTGATCAAGTGTCTAGGGGCTGACCGTAAGGATAAGTGGCTGAGGTCAGGTGGAAGACAAGATCATTGCAGGAAAGTTGAGGAGCTGGGAAACTTCAGTGCTGGAATCATCATGTATATAGTGATTGAAATCAGAAAGAACTATGACAGGAAAAGTGTTGGAGAAAATGACTGCTAAAATCTTCCAGGAATGAGGAGTAGACCCAGGACCATTTGTCTGGCAACATGAGTCAAAGAGTCAAAGCTGGGGATTTTAACCTACAGTTAGGTTAAAAGTAAATCTGGACTTGGGATTGAGATAGAGAGCAGACTTGGGTCCAAGATCCTATAAACTATTGATTTCAATGTACTGAGTTGAATGAGTTCAGTGAGTGCCTAAATAGGTTAATCCATGTAAGGCACTTAAAACAGGGAGGACCTGACCCGAGATAAGGGTCCATAAATGGTGGTGACAGTGCCATCTAATGTATTTTTTGAATGACTTTATTCAGGTCATTAGAAAATGAACATTGTTAAAATGTAAAGAAAATGTTTCTCTTTTAAATATGTTCAGAAACAGTTATGCATGCCGAAGAACTTTGAAAGTTTTACATACAGAAAGGTGTTGCTTTATTTTACTCTATGATTATTTTCAGAGACAAAATGTTAGGACCATGCCATATTGAACACCCACCCACTCCTGCCACTTACTTTTTACACTAGGGAGTTAATGAATCTTAGCAATAGTTTCTTTCAGTTGTTACTCCCATTTATATAAAGTCTTGACTGATTGGTAATTCATGGCTCTATGTGATTTCCGGTCAGACTTTTCACAGAGGATTCATATAGAGAGGGAGAAAAACTAAAAAGATTAGAAAGACAGGTTGAGGCCAGACTCTGAAAGATCTTGCAAGCTGAACTACTTTAGTTGCTTTCAGCAGGAAACCAATTTGATTTATTTTAATTTTATATGCCATTCCCAGATGGTAGAGCATAGTGAGGGAAGATTATAGACTGAAAGATCATTTAGTTTACTATTAAATCAAAATGGTAAATATCTGATTAGATTCTTGTAGCCATACAGATTAAAAAAAAAAAAAAAGAGGACTAACAAAGAAATGTCAGAGAACCAAACGAGGGAGTAGAATCCTAAGTTTCTGTAGCACTTCATTTCCCTTATTCCACTTTTCACCTACCTCTACTGTTAATAAAAGCATGTTTATGTACCTCCTCCTCAGTTACAGTATTAATTTCTCTAGGGCAGAGCATGCATAATTGTGTATTCACTAACACATACATTCAAATATGAATATAGAACATTTCATTTTTTAATTGCTCAGAAAGTTTTTGTCAAAGGAATAGACATAAGGGAAGAAGAGAGAGTTAAGGACGAAGCCCTGATGAGGACATAAGAGAAGCTGATTGCCGAGTCAGTGGGCCAGGGAAAAACTGACATCCGAACTGCAGAAGGTATCCCAAAGTTCCGAGGGTGCTCTTGGACTTAGCAAGCTGAAGAAGTGAGACATCTCAGTATATCCAGCAAATTATGTTTTTCATGACCTCAGTCACAAGCTGAAATGAATGTAATCATTTGTCCCAGTAAATTCAGCTAATTTAGTGAAGTTTTTAGGAACAGGTCTTCAGTTGCATCTCAAAGAAGGAAAAAAATGAAATCCTGCTGGGAATAGAGAATGCAACCTCCTATCTATTTTCTAAGAAACTTTAAAAATGCATTTAAAATTGATTCAAAATAATTGTGATTTAAATTCTACCTGTATAATATTTCAAGAAAATGAGACACATTAAATGGAATGGTTTTTTAACATAATAATTTGTAACTGACAATAACAAAGTCTTAATTTTCTTCTTTCAAGCCGAGGTTTTTCAGTCTTGTGATAGAACCTGGTTCTTCTTTGCTTTGTTTATGTTGGTCCCTGGTGTCTGTGTGTTCTGAATTGCAGGCTGTTGCTCTGAAGCAGAGCTAGAAAAGCCCAGAGGCTTTTATCCCACTCCACGATATCCACTGGATTATAGAGGAAGACTGGAATGTTCTTGGGTGCTCAGAGTTTCACCAAGCAGTATGGCAAAATTTACTGTTGAGTATCTGTCACTCCTGGGGTCTCCTGTGTGTGAAGACTCAGTTCTAATTATTTATGAAGAAAGACACAGTAAGAGGAAGATGGCAGGTAATACTTCCTGGCATATAAACTTCGTGTTAGGAGTCTTGTCCATGTAGGCAGCTTATTATCAGGAATGAGTCTGACTTGGTAATAATGCTACCAAAATGTTGATCCATGTAATAGGAATGTAATAGGAATGCTTTTCCCCTTGCAAACACCCTTAACATTTTATTATTATTATTATTATTATTATTATTATACTTTAAGTTCTGGGTGACATGTGCAGAACATGCAGGTTTGTTACAAAGGTGTATACATGCCATGGTGGTTTGCTACACCCATAAAGCCGTCATCTACATTAGGTATTTCTCCTAATGCTATTCCTCCCCTACTCCCCCACCCCCCGACAGGCCCTGGTGTGTGATGTTCCCCTCCCTGTGTGTCCATGTGTTCTCATTGTTCAACTCCCACTTATGAGTGAGAACATGCGGTGTTTGGTTTTCTGTTCTTGTGTTAGTTTGCTAAGAATGATGGTTTCCAGCTTCATCCATGTCCCTGTAAAGAACATAAACTCATCCGTTTTTATGGCTGTATAGTATACCATGGTGTATATGTGCCACATTTTCTTTATCCAGTGTATCATTGATGCGCATTTGGGTTGGTTCCAAGTCTTTGCTATTGTGAACAGTGCTGCAATAAACATGCGTGTGCATGTGTCTTTATGGTAGCATGATTGATAATCCTTTGGGCATATACCCAGTAATGGGATCGCTGGGTCAAAAGGTATTTCTGGTTCTAGATCCTTGAGGAATCGCCACACTGTCTTCCACAATGGTTAAACTAATTTACACTCCTACCAACAGTGTAAAAGTGTTTCTATTTCTCCACATCCTCTCTAGCATCTGTTGTTTCCTGACTTTTTAATAATCGCCATTCTATCTGGCATGAGATGGTATCTCATTGTGGTTTTGATTTGCATTTCTCTAATGACTAGTGATGGATGAGCTTTTTTTCATATATTTGTTGGTCACATAAATGTCTTCTTTTGAGAAGTATCTGTTCATATCCTTTGCCCACTTTTTGATGGGATTGTTTGTATTTTTCTTGTAAATTTGTTTAAATTCCGTATAGATTCTGGATATTATCCCTTTGTCAGATGGATAGATTGCAAAAATTTTCTCCCATTCTGTAGGTTGCCTGTTCACTCTGATGATAGTTTCTTTTGCTATGCAGAAGCTCTTTAGTTTAATTAGATCCTATTTGTCAATTTTGACTTTTGTTGCCATTGCTTTTGGTGTTTTAGTCATGAAGTCTTTGCCCATGCCTATGTCCTGAATGGTATTGCCTAGGTTTTCTTTTAGGATTTTTGTGATTTTAGGTCTTATGTTTAAGTCTTTCATCCATCTTGAGTTAATTTTTGTATAAGGTGTAAGGAACGGGTTCAGTTTCAGTTTTCTGCATATGGCTAGCCAGTTTTCCCAAAGCCATTTATTATGTAGGGGATCCTTTCCTCATTGCTTGTTTTTGTCAGATTTGTCAAAGATCAGATGGTTGTAGATGTGTGTCATTATTTCTGAGGCCTCTGTTCTGGTCCATTGATCTATGTATCTGTTTTGGTACCAGTACCATGCTGTTTTGGTTACTGTAGCCTTGCAGTACAGTTTGAAATCAGGTAGTGTGATGCCTCCAGCTTTGTTCTTTTTGCTTAGGATTGTCTTGGCTATACAGGCTCATTTTTCAAAAGCATTTCTATATGCCAATGACAGACAAACAGCCAAATCATGAGTGAACTCTCATTCACAACTGCTATAAAAATAATAAAATACCTAGGAATTCAACTTACAATGGATGTGAAGGACCTCTTCAAGAACTACAAACCACTGCTCAAGGAAATAAGAGAGGACACAAACAAGTGGAAAAACTTCCATGCTCATGGATGGGAAGAATCAATATCATGAAAATGGCCATACTGCCCAAAGTAATTTGTAGATTCAATGCCATCCCCATCAAGTTACCACTGGCTTTCTTCACAGAATTAGGAAAAAAACAAACAAACAAACAAAAAAAACCTTAACATTTTCAAGTACTTTGAATTGAGATAGCAAATATGCTTAAGGTTGAGTGTGTTTGTGTGTGTGTGTGTGTAGGGAGGAGGAAAAAAGGCAAGAGGGCTCAACTTCTTCAAACATAGTGGAACCATGCCAGAATGCTGGAAGAATATATATTGTAAAAGAGCAAGTCAGAAGATGGTTAAAAATAGAGCAGGAGAGGAAGGTGAATGAAAAAATAAAGCAAAAATACATTAAAGGCTTTTAAAGTGGCAGGATTGAAAAGATCTGCTGAAAACATGCCAGCACTCATTTTTCATTTCATGCACAGAGAAACCTGTTTTTGTTCAACAAAACAAACTTGCCTCCTCCTGTCTGCACACATGGAATGAAAGCTTTTTGGCTCGCAGTAAGGAGGGAGGTGGGAGGTGATTGAAATAATTTGGTTAATGGGGAAATCTGGAAAGAAAATAAATTTGTGTATGTCATTGACCATGTGTGTGGCATCTATTTGTGTTTGATTCCAAAGTGCGTAGAGGCCGGGGAAACTGCTGCGAGGGTGGGATTGTTTTCTTAGGACAAACTCTGAGAGATTAAATCACTGGGTTAGAAAGCAAAAATGTTTGCTTAAAGAATCTTTCTTTATAAGTACAATCTAATTTAGACTACAGTGACACAATTAATTAGCCTATCTGCTTGGCACATTTTCCCCCTAGAATCGGATCACCTCCTCCATCCCCCTAGATTAGAACAGTTCCAGGGCTTCTTGCAGCGAGAATAAAATTCACACTCCCTGGAAGACTCCCTCTCCGTCAGCTCATGGGTTCCCAATACCTCTCATTCTCACCTTGGGACCATTGTCTGTCTATTCCCAGCACTTCAAAGAGCTCCTTCTCATCCTTGTGCCTCATGTCCTTCAATTCTTGATGGAAGGTCACCTTCTTAATGAGACCAACCTTGACTGATGTAAGTTGCATCACGCCCCTGCCTCCAGACTTCTCAGTTCCCTTTTCTTAGAGCACTTATTATCTTCTAACACAAGGGTCTCCAACCCTCCAACCCCCAGGCCACAGACCAGTACCAACTTGTGGCCTGTTAGGAACTGAGCCACACAGCAGGAGGTGAACAACGGGCAAGCATTACCACCTGAACTCCACCTCCTGTTAGATCAGTGGCAGCATTAGATTCTCCTAGGAATGTGAACTGCACATGCAAAGGATCTAGGATGCCTGATCCTTATGAGAATCTAATGCCCGATGATCTGAGATGGAACAGTTTCATCCCAAAACCATCCCTCCCACTGTTTGTGGAAAAATTGTCTCCCACGAACCTGGTCCCTGGTGCCAAAAAGTTTGAAGTCTGGGGTTAAAAGATTAGAATCTAACATATTATACTTTTTTTTCATGATTATGGCTTATCTGTGTCTTCCCGATTGAGTATGAGTTTCATGAGAGCTGGAATTTTTGCCTGTTTGGATCAAGAAGCCTCAGTGCCTAGAACAGTGCCCGACATGTAGAAGACACTTCATAAATAAGTGAACAAGAGAATAGTCACCTCCTCAAAGAGGGCCTCTCAGTCTAAAGTAGCATCATCCATTCCTTCCCTCAGTCATTGTCTGTTACGTTGGCTTTCATTTCATCTTTGATCTCTCTATGAAACCATCTTCATTTACCTGACTAAAATGAAAGCTTCGTGAGAGCAGAGACCTTGCTCTCTGTTCCCTTCTGTATACTTCCAATGAGGTCAACACCTACGGCTCGAAACGTTTTCTTTTTCATGAATTTTTGCTGAGTTTGTTTTTTTCATGAAGATTTGTTAAATTACTCTTCAGAAAGGCTAACTTAATTTTCACGGTCATTAGCAGTGCCTAGGATCTTCTTTCACCATGCCCAGAACCTAATATGTCAATTTAATGGGCAATTGTCCTTTAAAAATAATCATTAAGGGAGATAATTTCTTTTTTGCTTTTATTTTTCTTTGTTTTAAGATTATGTCTCCCTATTTTGCCCAGGCTGACCTCGAACTCCTGGGCTCAAAAGATCTTCCTAGTTCAGCCTCCCAAATACCTGGCACGTGCTACTGGACCCAGCTTGTTTGTTTAAAAATTAATTGCCATTGTCTTTTGTACATTTTTAAAATTTCAGTATTATTCTTTTTATTGCTTTACGAACTTTATATAAAAGATATTTTTCCTTGGTCACATCTATTCTTAATGCTTATCCTTAATGTTGTCATAAGTTTATTCTTAATGCTTTCCTTTGTCATAATTTATTCTTAATGCTTATTCTTAGTATTGCCATTTGCTTTTGTATTATTTATTATGTTAATGTAAATTTTTTTAAATTTAGTTGTTTATCCATACATGTCTTTGATCTTTGGTTTTTATCTCATTACTTTCATGCTTAAAAATTTATTCCCCATTCTGAGGTCAGAATGTTTAATTTAAAAAAAAACTTTCAAAATCATGCTGAAATATATTTTCTCATATGGTAAAGTGACTCTATAGCCGCTTTCTTTTTAAAAAGTCTTTTTCTTCCGAATTGATAGCACTATTTCTATAATATACTATATTCTTATACAGAGAGACACATTTTCTGGGGAAACTTGCCTTTATCATTATTGCCTATTGAAAACCATGCTTGACTTCATTGTAGATTACCTGAGGAATCCCTATAATTTTCCAACCTAGCATTTCTTTAATTTTTGAAATTGTCAGCTTGAACTTTGTGGAATTGTTCTGTCCCTTCGGATTACATCTAGGAGAATAGCAAGCCTGTAATGGAAATATTATTCTTTACTTAAATTATATAGCATTCTTTACTGTAAAATGCTGTTTCTCCCTGTTAAAGGTAGCAATTCATTTAAAAGTTACATTCACTTCTATTTGCTACAAAGAAATATTAGGTCATTCTTCAAATAGCATTTCACCATTGTATACTTTAAAATGCCAACGAATGTTTTTCTTCTTTTCTCTTTCTTGGCTCTTATCCCCTCCCTCCTTTCATTCTACAAGTATTTGTGAAACACCTACTATTAGCCAGGGACTGAGTCATCTCGGTTCTGAGGATTCAGTAGTGAAAAAAAGAAAATTTTCTGCCCCTATCGAGCTTATATTCTAGCAGGGAGAAAACACATAATAAGGTAAAATATAAGGCATCTTAGATGGAAGAACTAAGGAAGAAAAAATAAAGTGGGAAAGGAGAAAAGAAGTATCTGGGATGTAGGTGCCACATAGTTGTATGTAGTGCAATCAGCAGATATCTTTCTGAGCAGGTGAATTCAAATAAATGTTACAAAGTGATACTGAATTATTCTTAATGTAGAAGAGTTTGATCCTAAGAAATTCACAGGTTCTTTCCACACATGCTTAATCAGCCCTCTGAATCATTTCAGAATTATGATTATAATTTTCCCTTCTATCTTTGACTTAGGTTCTCAAAGCAATCAATAAAAGACTGACTATAGGGAAATAATGCATTTTGAAGTAGAAAATGTTTTCCATCGAAGATCTTCATGGTGAGGTATTTTTAATAAGTAGGTTACTTTTCTAGGAGAAATTGGTCATATCAGTCATTTTAGAGATAAAATAATTTACTACCTACTGTCCTTCAGGAAGCACTGCAACAAGTAGATAATGATGGATATTAAATACATGGACCCAAGTTGAAGATCCTAACTTCCTACCCCACTAGTTTGTGATGCTGAGTGAGTCACTTGTGTTCTGGAATCCTGTTTCCTCGTTTTACAAAATGGAATCAATTCCTACCTTGTGGGTTAAATTAATTGCTCTGCCTAAAATATAGAAACTGCTGTAAAATTGTCATTCTTATTTTTTTACTAGAGTTCACTTTTTAACCTAGGTGGATTACATGGGAGAAGACTTTACTCAATGACTTTCATGAGTCCTGGACCACTGGTGAGGGTGACATTCCAGTCCTTTGTTCAAGGTGCATTTGGCATAAGCTATATAGTCTTGAAAGTCCTAGGTAGGTCTGGTTATTTTATAAACTTGTAAAGGCTAAAAAAATCAATATTACTCTATTTAGGAATATTTCAAAACCTACACAGCATTTTGAAAGAAATTATGTTTCTGTGGGGAAATTAGTATATGTTTGAAAGGAAAATCTACTTAAGTCACCTAAGATTTGATCAGGTCCAAAAGGGAAACTGCTCAATAGAGAACTTGATTGAATTGTATATGATTTCTGAAAATGGCTAAGATATGTTGGTTGCAAGATAACTTTTGTCTGTGGCTACAGTTTTATGCCACAAAGAATGGTTTCTGCAGCCGTAATTCTTGTGACTCAGAAGATTTGGTTTCTAAATCTTAGCTGGTTGATTAGCTGTGGACAATTTATTATCTCTGATTAGAATTTTCTTTGTAATGATATAATAAAAAATTAGAATAAGTTTTGAAAACAAACTACACAAATATTATATTCTAGCATTGTAAGTGTAAACGATGTAATTCAGAGTTGTCAGATTGAACTTTAGAACATGTAATTAGTGAGGTTTTTTTCTTCTTGATATAGACAACTGAAAGCTAGCTTCCCCTCTTGGCACCTAAAAGCATTGCTGAGAATATATTTTTCTAGACCTGTGTATACTGCATATTTGGAAAAAGTTAAATGAGTAATAAAGCATTTATAGCATATGAAAGTTTTCTCTTGGAAGAATATATTAAGAATACTGCTTTCAGATGGAATAAGGCAGTTAACAGGTATTATCCATAGCTGTGTCCTGTAATCTTCCATAGACCCTAGGCTATGTCAGAGATCATTCTGAGAGATGTGCTTGTTTCCTGTACCTTTTGAATATTTTGAATATTTAAGATGGAGAAAATTTTCAGTGAAACCAACCACCTCCTAATAATTACTTGTTTTCCCAGGACAATTAGGGAAGAGAGCTGTTTACCTTGATCTGAAAAGGCATATAGGAAGCCTGTTAAACATTGGTTTTATTCTCATTTTCTCTGCTTCCTATTCTTCTAGGTCCAAAGGACAGTAAAATAACCAGACTTTCCCAAAGTTCAAACAGAGAGCACTTGGTCCCTTGTGAGGATATTCTTCTGATCAAGCCAGAAGGGATCATGCAGATCCCAAGAAATTCTCACAGAACTACTATGAGGTAAGGAAGGAATGATTATTATAATGGAAGAAGTGTGTGGAAAAAATGGCTTGACTGACATCAACACTTGGTATTTACTTAAAACATTATTCTTCACCTCTTTTCCATAAAGAATACACTCTTAGGTAACCCCTAATCTATGGCCTTTAATATGGAAACAAAACAAAACAATGTAAGAATGTTCTTGTTTATGAATTGTACTTTCTCAACAAAATAGACCATGTACTAGCAAAGTGAAAAGTCAAATCTCTACAAAGAATGTTGGAGGCTGATATAATGTATGTAAACTATTTGGGCACATAGTAGATACTTAATAAATGATGCATGGGAGTTTGGGGCAAATTCTGGCACATGTACATCCTTCAGATCTTGTAAATTTTCAATCAGAATTTAAAACAATACCCACAATTGGTCAACCATTCACCATAATGTGTGAACTTTACAAATTTTGACAAATTAGGTATTAGGTAATAAATTTAATATAATTTTAAGTACAAATCTTTCTCTCTCACAACCGTAAGGAAACAGACACAAAAACTAAGGCTCACTGGGGGTCAATAACATTGATGCATTAATTTCTGAGCAAAATAACTAACAATATATTCTGTTTAGAAATAATTTCTGACTTTGTTTCATCTGTGCCATAGTTGCCAATGGAGGTTAGTAGCCCCTTTAAATCACATCATTCAGCTTAATATTATCAACTTCCCGATGAAGCCAACAACTTTGGTCTGTCATGGTCATCTGCATGTTTACAAAGGATTTGGACCAGGAAAAAAATTAATAGGTAACTGGTTTCCCATGAATCACTATGCTACTGATTTTCTCTTATGAAACATGTTTAGATTGTTTTATATTCAATATGTGGCTTACATGTGACATACACTAGTCTCTTCTTATAGGATGTTGAAATAGACTTACTGTTAAACTTTTGTCAGATTTAAAATTAAGATATAAAATCTCAGGTTTAGTTAAAAACAAAGTCCAACAACGTTTCTTACATGGATCACACCTAGATTAAATTTGCTCAGAAATACTAAAAGTAAAGAATGAATGAAGTAGTTTTAGACAAAAACACAAGAAAATTAAGACTATAAAATTAATAAGGCAAAATAATCACAGCAAAAGGCATTACATGAGTTTATCAATTGGTAGTATTTAGAAACCTGGTTACTGTGATTTAAACTCATTATTTTCAAAGAGAAATGCAGGCGCACTGCTAGTTCAACAGTTGAACTCCACCAGCACTAAAGGTAGTTCAATTATTTTGGCTTTTCCTGATGGTTGCATAATGGCTATTTCAGTTCTCATCATTACATTGATGAAAGAAGGGACAGGGAGGATTATTCCTATCAGGAAAGCAAACATGTTTCCAAGAATCCTGTAGCAGACTTAAATCTCTGGCCAGAATTGTCACATGGCCATGCCTGACCAGAGGGTGACTAGAGAGAAGGGAAATGGAAAAGCATTTTGGGCGGTCAACCAAGATTTCTGGACACCATGGGATATAGAAGTCCACAGTTCTGAAATCTGATGGTTCTGGGTCCATATCTCTGTTCTACCACATACTAGTTAAGTGACTTTGGGAATGAGCTCAAATCTTTCTAAGACTCAGTTTCCTCATTTGTGAGAGGAGACACCCCACCACCATGCACACTATGGTCTATGAATTCCCAGTTTACTTAATCAAGAAATAAATGTGTAATGAAGTAAAAGCCCAGCGAAAGAGGATGTATGGCTTTTTGCTGGCTTTTGCCTTCCTAAGAAGGGCCCAGATACAGGTGTCACTCTCCATGCAGGTAGGGTCCTCTCAGAGTGGATAAAAAAGTCAATTGCTAAACCACTGTCTTTTTTATTCTTCAGATTTACAATACTATCCTAGAAGTAAGTGCACTAAGAATATTTCTGTTTCTATTTAGGAGACTGTTGATGAGCACCGAGCTTTCTTGGTTCCTAAGCCAATTCAGCACTAAGAAGACCACAGCTTCTTGTGGGGAGACTGTAGTATCCATGAAAATGATGTATACTTCTACCATTCTTGCCTTACAGAACACCTGTTACCATTCACTGCCTCATGAGGTTGTTTTGAGAATTAAATAAGAGAAGACATGTTAATCAATACTAAGAAACCAAACTTGTGTTTTGTTTAGATTAGAAATATTTATTCTGATTCCTGTTCTTAAAATTGTGCTGCTTGGAGGAAAAGTTTAGATTGTCTCCCTATTGCCTCTTCTATGGGTGACAGGGCAAAAACAGATTGGAAAAACAAAGAAATAAAGAAGGGGACAGGGAAGGAAGAGTACATTAGCAATGTCAGTTATCACTTGCAATGTTAATCAACTATATATCTGTTCTTTACTTAGAACTAATTCACAAAACATACTATTTTCTATTTCCTTCTCCCCAAAAGTTTTATGACTCTTTTTCAATTTCTCTAAATAGAGTTTACAAGCTCTGTGGTATAGGGAAGGAAAAAAGTATTTATCTTCTACCCATCTATCCAGAGGAACAAATCCTGTGATCAGAAGTTTAGAACTTATAGCCCAACCTCTGGGTAGGGGAGAGGGACTGGAAATTGACTTAATCAGCAATTGCCAATGATGTGATTGATCATTTCTATGTAATGAAGCCCTCATAAAACCCCAAAAGGAGAGTTCAGAAAGTTGAGTTGGTGAACTCACGGAGGGTGCTGGGGGGATGGTGTACCCAGAAAGGACTGTGAAGCTCTGTGCCCAGACTCCATATCTTGCCATATACATCTTTCATTTGACTGTTCCTGAACTATATCATTTGTAGTAAGTAGGTAAACACAAGTAAAGTGTTTCCCTGAATTTTGTGAGTTGTTTTAGTAAATTATCAAACCTGAGGAGGGGATCGTGGGAACCTCTGATTTATTGCTGGGCAGTCAGTAGCACATGTGACAACCTGGACTTGCAATTGGTATCTGAACTGGGGAGTGAGGACAGTCTTGTGAAACTGAGCTCCTAACTTGTGCAGTCCATGCTAACCTAAGGTAGATAAGAATGGAATTGAATTGTAAGATACCCAGTTGTTGTGGGGGGAAAAATCCCATACATCTGGTGTGAGAAGTGAAGTACCGAGAGTAGCAGTAGTTGTAGGAGAGAGAGAGATTTTTCCTTTAGTTAGTGTAGAGAAGTGGTTTTTTTTGTTTTGTTCTTTGTTTTTGTTTTGTTTCTCAGACTATCTTAGCTTCATTGGCTGGAACTCTAGCAATGATACTGACAAAAGACAAAACGAGAAAAACTGAATTTTCTTAACACATATATCATGCATATATGGGAAAATTCGGTGGTGAGTAACTCAAAGAGGTGATTAGAACTTGGGCTTATATAACATTTTAACAAAAGAACAATAAATAAGAGAAGTGACAAAATAAAGGAAAAGGACTTTGAGCTTCTAAAGGCAAAGAACTTGAGCTTCTAGGGGTGGCATATTGTAGGAAAGTGAATATATTGGGGACAGTTGTAGAAAACTAAGGTTTCTTTAGAAAGATTTGTTATGTAGATTCTTCTGGTGTCGTCTCTGGGCTGATAAGAGTCTAGATTTGTCTCTAAGAATTGTTCTGCCTTTCCTAGTGGAGAGAGTGGGAGGGCAGAGAGTGTTTCTTCTGTCTACCTTTTTTTTCAATTGCTTTCTGCTGAAAATAATCCTTGTGCCAGGGTGGTATACTCTCAACCACCTCCGGGTTAAGTCAATGCTTGACCTCAGCAGATTATTTGATGAACATTTGACAGAACCAAATAGGATTTATCCCAAGAACACAAGGAAAATTGAATATTAAAATGTATTGTATATTAAGATTTTCTACTATAAATTAGAAAAAATAGATACAAATTATATAGCAATTGTCATCTTAAAACCATAGCAGTAAAATGTAGAAGATGTAAGGGGAAAATTACTTCAATTACATTTAGCAATAAAAGCCATATGATAACTAGGAATAACCCTAAATTTGAGATTTATTGTTCAAACTATGAAACTTTATTAAGTTGCATGTGTGGGCACACAAATACATACAAACACACAAACATTTGCATAGATAAAAGTACCATGTTCCAAAACTGAAAGACATAACTCATTAACTCAACACAAATTAGTTTAAAAATATATTTTCCAACTAAATCCAATGGAATTTTTTTTCTGGAGGGATGAAGAGGAAATTAAACAACTCCAAAATTTATCCTGTAAAATAAATAGCACTAGCTGAAAATATCTTGGGGAAAGAATGACCAAATGTTTAAGGTAGAATTGCTCTATCAGATATTTAAAGTATATTTTAAAGCAATGGTAATTAAAACTATCAGAAGAAACAAGTGATTGAAAATAGACTAGAAGGGGCCCTAGAAAATTTAAGACCACCGTATGTGGTTTATTTGGAATTACCACTCAGAAAATGTATAAAATTATTCTTCACATCACACAATAGCTGATAAAGAAGTTAGTTTTCATAAGGCATTAAAATTGGAAAATATTGGTAGTTAACCATATGGAGAAGGACTTTCTCATATAGATATAGAAGTAGTAGAAGAAAACAAATTAATAAGTTCTTATGTAATTAAAAACTCTTCTGCACCCACAGAAACAAAACTAAAAAGCAAATACATGGGATTTTCAACTATGCTGAGAAAAGTCTGAAGTAATTGATTTAAGAAGTGTTTACAGTTCAATAATAGAAAAGCTAAGATCTGTAAAATAAATTTATAGGACCTAGACAACGTTGACTTAGTCTTGATTAAAGTTAAACCACAGATCCTGTGCCTTCTGTTTTCCACTTACTTTTTGAAAGAATGACACACTGTTGACCCAAGTGCTTTTGAGAACACAAAACATAGGATTAACCATTAGCCTCTTCTGATAGATAAGAAAGGTTACTGATATTTACATACCAGTTACTACACAATCTAAATTAAATCTCGTTTTTTGTCACAGTGAAATTGGTCCTCTGGCCATCTCTTTACTAAAGAGGGCAGAGTTTTCCTGTAATCATGGAAAGCCTACTAGTTCTTAGGATCCTTGGTTTGAAACCTTGAAAACTATGAGTGTTATAGCAAACTGCATTTACTAGACTGTTTGTTTCAGAAAATATTGTGTATGATCAGTTAAACTTAGAGATGGTTTTGAAGTGAATTATCACTCTTATGATAATTAACCCATGACTATGACCATCTTGATCTACCTCTAGTTAAGTATAAAACACTGAAGGATTTTCTTTAGAATTGGAGGATTCATAATATTAAAAAAATTAAGTACAATAAATAAGGGTCTAACCGATTTCAAATGACAATTCAGAATCACTGTTTTCCATGATATACCCTAATTTTAAAAATGACAAATTAAAAGGTGAAGCCAGCTGGGCTTCTGGATTGGGTGGGGACTTGGAGAACTTTTTTTGTCTAGCTAACAGATTGTAAACATGCCAATCAGCACTCTGTGTCTAGCTAAAGATTTGTAAGCGCACCAATCAGTACTCTGTAAAAACGAACCAATCAGTGCTCTGTGTCTACATAAAGGTTTGTAAACGCACCAATCAGCACTCTGTATAAATGGACCAATCAGCACTCTATAAAATGGACCAATCAGTAGGACATGGGCAGGGCCAAATAAGGGAATAAAAGCTGGCCACCCAAGCCAGCAGCGGCAACCCATTGGAGTCCCCTTCCGCACTGGAAGCTTTGTTCTTTTGTTCTTCACAATAAATCTTGCTGCTGCTCACTCTTTGGGTCTGCACTAGCTTTATGAACTGTAACACTCACCTCAAGGGTCTGTGGCTTCACTCCTGAAGTCAGCAAGACCACGAACCCACCTGGAGGAAAAAACAACTCTGGATGTGCCATCTTTAAAAGTTGTGACATTCATTATGAAGGTCTGCAGCTTCACTCCTGAAGTCAGCAAGACCATTAACCCACCAGAAGGAAGAAACTCTGGACACATCTGAACATCTGAAGGAACAAACTCCGGACACACCATCTTTAAGAGCTGTAACACTCATCGTGAGCATCTGCGGCTTCATTCTTGAAGTCAGCAAGACCAAGAACCAATTGGAAGGAATAAATTCAGGACACATTTTGGCAACCCAGATGGGACTATCACCAAGTGGTAAGTACCATCAGACCCCTTTCACTTGCTATTCTGTCCTATTTTTCCTTAGAATTCAGGGGCTAAATACTGGGCACCAGTCAGCCAGTTAAAAGCGACTAGTGACCGCCGGACTAAAGACACAGGTGTCAGGCTTTCTGGGAAAGGGTTCTCTAACAACTCCCGATTCTTCGGAGTTGGGAGCATTGGTTTCCCTGGAACCAGCTTCTGTTTTTCCTGTACTTCCGGGCTGAGCCATTCAGTTCCAGGGTCCTGACAACAAGTTGGTTGACCCTGTGGCCACGAGTGGAACTCTCAAAGTCATGTTGCCCAAGTGAGACTCGCCCTTCTATCCTATCTATGCTGACCCTTGCTTGCCTCCTGGGTCCTAATGCCTGTCAGACAAACTTCCTCTCACCTCTCTTCTCCGAGGCTAGTCCCGCTTCTAAAAACCACTCCCTGTCTCTGGTGCTTTTTTAGTTTCTCCTATAAGAATGATTTCTAGTATAAACTTCAGGACTCTGTTACCTTCCTTGGGCACCCAGGCTCACCAATCAGAAAGACATAATTTTTGCCCAAAGCCCTGTCGGTGGGATGGTACTACCTGGAATTTTAGAATCTCTCCTCAGACAAGCAGGCCTAAAAATAAGCTATTCCTGAAGCTAGGATATGGGGAGCCTCAGAAATTTTATCCTTCCTATTCATATAAGTGAGGACAAAAGGCATCACTTTTCAAACTCTGGAGATCCCTCCCCTCCATCAGGATATTGCTCTCCACTTCATTTTTGGGGCATAACATCTTTAAGTCCCAATACTAACAGGAGAATCCTTAGGACTGTAACATATTTTCAAGAATGTGTCATTAAGGGCCACTAAATCCGATTTTTCTCAGTCCTCCTTGTGGTCTAGGAGGACAAGCAAGGGTGCAGGTTTTTGAAAATGTGTTGGTAAGGTTCACTAAATCCGATCTTTCTCAGTCCTCCTTGTGGTCTAGGAGGAAAACTAGTGTTTCTTCTGCTGTGTCGGTGAGTGCAACTATTCCCATCAGCAGGGTCTAGGGACCTTTACGGGTTCTTGGGCAAGAGGTGTTTCTACTGCTGCGTTGGTGAGCACAACTATTCCAATCAGCAGGGTCCAGGGACTGTTGTGGGTTCTTGGGCAGGGGGAAAAACAAACAAACCAAAACTGCAGGTGGTTTTGTCTTTCAGATGGGAAACACCCAGGCATCAACAGGCTCACCCTTGAAAT